TAGAAGAGAACACATAAAAACTTTAAAAAAGACTGGAAGTGTTTAATTTCAACCTTAAAGACTTTCCCCACTACTGGGGATCAGACCCAGAGCCTTCCTACTGAGCGGCACTGCCAGCCCTTCTCTTCCCTCATCTGAGACAGGTTCTCACTAAGCTGCCCAGTTGGGCCTACGTCTGTGACCCTTTTGCCTTAGTCTTGTCTTTCTCAAACACACATTTCTAGTAATAATAATTCCAAGAAGTACTTGACTGTTAAAGAGAATAAATGTATTCCAATAAGCTTAAAAACTCCAAATAAACATGAAAAGTCATGAAAGATTTTTGGCGATTTGGAGGGACGGGTAACTGGGAAATCACTGGTGACCTGTAAGGGGTTTTCCTACAGTTTAGAGTCAAACTGCAAGACACAGGAAAGGCAGTGTAAGAGTGAATACGGCAAATGGAAGCTACTCTAAAGAGAAAAAGACAGCAGGAGAAAGCTTTCTACAATGAAGAATTAGTCTCCCTCTTCCCCCTTGTGAGTCAAAAGAAGGGGCCTCATGAAGACCCTGTTTTGAAAATCATGTCAAATATTTATTGAATATATTATTATTCATGGCACGGTGAATTTATGAATGCACCAAGTCACTGTGGCAGAGCTTATCAATCAAAATAGACATGAAGTGTTTTTCTTAAATGGTTACTGGGGCTGACGCACAGGTGCCCACATGCTGGGAAGACTGCATGCTGGTCATTAAGGTTTTAATCACGGGAGGGAGGCAAACTGCACAGGCAGGAGGAAAACATGTTCCGGCTCAAGTGATAATGGTCTAGGAGGAGGCACAGTGAGGGGGAGGCGGGGAGAGAGCGCGAGCGATCAAGGAAGATGACCTAGTGATGTGCTGGAAACTAGGGGAGAGGAAAGGACACCAAGGGCAAACACACACAGCATCAGGACTGAGACAGGGCTGAGAAGTGACCCGGCGGGGTTACAGCCCTTGCAGGTCACATTTGCTCTCCAAGGCACCTTCTTGTGCTCTGTGGTTCTACATTTTCCCCTTTAAAAACAATCCCCTCTATCCCTAGAACTCTACAACTCCACGTCACCTTCTCTTCCTTCAAATGCTTTTAAAATTCACTTTGGCTAAGTGTACAGAAGTAAAATGAACATAGTAATATAACTGGAGTTCAAATAACTTAACAAATTTCTGAAAGTCACACTTCACAGGACATTGATCGTTTCCCAATTGGTGAATGACAGACGGTCCTGCTGTGAGCAGGAAGAGCTATCTAGAAGACAGGTTCAGGGGCCTCACCACACAGGTGGTGATGGTAGATGGCAAGGATCACCTGTGGAGCCTTGTCAAAGCATTCATGCCAGAACACGGTCTCAGGAAGAAGTGTTAGACAGACAACTCGCCCTTCTTGTAATTTCACAGTCCACATTTTGAGTATCATAATCTTTCTGCAGAATTTCTCACCCATGATAACCCTCAAAGATATGGCAGGTATGGAAGAAGTTTAGGAACATGAAGTAAGCAATGGAAACTAAATTCAAGAGCACTAAGGCATCTTCCCTTCCTAAATACATTAAAATAAAACAATTTTATTGAAAACCGTTCTATTTAGTTAGGTTCTGCCTGCTTTTTTTAATTCAAGTTTTAACATGACGTATTCTTACAAATACCAATTGGCAGTTTTGGTGTAGTCTGCTGTTGCTCTCTTTTGATCATCATGATTTAAAATATGCAATAAAACTTTTGTTTTCTGTCAGTAAGTAACAGTTAACTATGAAGAACAAAGTTTTCATAATAAAGTAATTTCTGTTCAGAGTATGTGGTAGTCCAGGGAAAAAAGAGACTTTCATCTGCAGTCTGGATTGCTAAATTTCAGTGTCACAACTGAATCTCATGCAGACCAACAGACAAAGGTTGTGTCTTTGCTGCTTTTTAATTATCAGGAGAAAGCATGGTGGAGGATAAGAGACTGGGAACGTGAAGAAACACAAAGAGCAGCCCCACAGCATTGTACATGCCCAAGAGAAACAAACTCTAAGTTTCCACAAACAATTGCTTGCTGTCTGGGAGATGCTCAGGCATCAGACAATAAAGAACAGTCAACAGAGGCAAGAGGCCGAGCACGCTGCTGTGGTTCCTGCTCTCTAATCCCCTGAGCTCCAGTAAAAAGGCCAGCTGTTGCCACCTCGTGTAGGGAGTCAGCAGAGCAAATGAACAGGGGAAGGGAGTGCGGAGGACACTGAAAACTCCTCCTCGCCTGCTTCTTTAGGTTACACTGTTCTCAACACTAAAGATACTAAACTACACCACACAAAAGCCTGGAAGTTGTATCCACGTAAAGGAATTTATTACTGTTTTCACATTGCATTGGCAAATATGAAGAAATATACTGAACCTTTTAACATTTCAACACTCCCAAACTAGCTCAACAAAAGGCTAAATTTAGAAAAACAGTCACTCTGTTCAACTAAAGATTCCTTATCTATCATAGCGGACTTTAGTCTCAGTAAGTATGAATATGATCACATAACTACACTGAAAGACTGAATTCTGGGCAATCTGGGTGCTACTTAATTATGGAGAGATGTGAGTACATTTAAGCTATGTTTATAAATCACAAAAGGAATATTAACTTCCTTAAATCTGTTTAATGACTTCATATACACTTTAAAGTCCCTTTACCCGTGCTATCAAAGTTTTCCACCTTAGAGTCCCTTTGTTTACGTGCTATCAAAGTTTTCCTATGGTATCAAAGTTTAAATTCCAGAGCGTTTTATATGAGACGACGTATACAGGAGGACGGTAAAGATAATCACAGCCATCAACCCCAACATGTGCCTTTCTCCCCCTGTGAAGGGCACCATTAACGAAGGAAGAATCTGAATAGAAAGGACAACTTTGGATATTTATATCTGCCAAAGGCTTGATTTTTTCCCTAAGTTAGTTTAAGACAGGCACTTAAAGAGATCTGGCTCAAATCTTGGCTTTAACACCTACGAGCTAGGTACTAGTAGGCCTCTACTTCATCTGTAAAATGAGAAGACCCACTGCATTCATTTCCAAAAGATCTCTGAGGAGATGCAAATGATTCACTGAAAGCACCTGAAAAGTATTCAGATATATCTAGGACTAGTTATAAGGATGCACACTGCTTTTTATTCTTTATGTGAAACTAACCTCAGGCTTACAGGAAAAATACAAAGAACACATTTTCCTGAAGCATTTATGGTCATTATGTCCCATCACCCACAAATAACCTTGTTTATTAGCTTTCAGTAAGGATATTTTCTTAAATAATCTCAGGTCAATATTTTGAATCTTAAAACTGTCACTAATGTGTTAACAGTCAAATTTTACTTAAACAAAAACAGCCAGTCCAGGATGGGACACTGCATTTAAGTTTTCAGGTCCTTCCCTCTTCTGCAACCTGGCACAGGCCCCCAGCCTTTTCTTGTCTTTCAGAGTCCTGACACATTTGAAGAACATAAACCAGTGATTTTTACACTGTATCTTTTTTTTTTATTTTGGTACCGGGAATTGAACTCAGGGCCTTGCTCTTGCCAGAAAGGTGCAGGCTGCTGAGCTACATCCCCGGCCTCCATACTGTATCTTAATTGGGCCTGTCTTAGGTACTATGACTGAACTTAAACTATGTATCTTTAACAACAATATCCAAGAAGTGATGCTGGGCTCCCAGCTGTGGGCAAGTAGTGAGGATCAAACCCAGGGTCCCAGAGCGACAGCCCAGCCCTTTTTATATTTGAAAGTCTCTAAGTCGCTAAGCTGCCCAGGCTAGGCTTGAACCTTTGATCTTCCTGCCTAAACCTGCAGAGTGCAGGGGTCACAGGCGCGCACCACCACGCCCAGCTGTGATGTTAGGTTCTTCTCACTGCATTCTACAAAGGTGGCACAAGTTTTGATTTGACCATTACTGATATTAACACTTGACTAAGGTGGTGATTGTAAGCCTTCTCCATGTAAATTTCCCTCTTTTAACTAATAAGCATTTTCTATGGAGGTATTTTGTGTGGCTATTCTTCACCATGGATTTTATCCATTTATTAATAGAACTTCCAATTCATGGGTCGCTGTCATTCAATGAGTTACAAGTTGTGACTGTCATTATTATTCTGATGCCCAAAGTATCCCAGGCTCGGTCAGTTAGAGGCTCAGAGCCTGTGGGTCCTGCTTGTCGCTGTGTGGTTGCACCACAGCCCTTCCAGCACCTCCTCACTGCTACACCCGGAAGTGCCCCGGCCTCAGCCTGCTCTCCCCATCCCCAGTGTCCTGGTGAGACTCCTCCTCAACCTCCAAGCTGGAAAGTGTCTCCCCACATCTCTTGCCACATCACTTCCATCTCTAGCCTTACTCCAATAGTGAATTTGGCATATGGTCTGGTTTTACTTCTTATGTGCTCATCTTAAGAAGACAATCAGTTAGTGAATATTGAGTGGATCCTGAAATAATGAAATTATTTAAAACCAGATAAAAATATGGATGCATCGAAATTTTAACACTGTATCTACACTAGCCTTTGCTACTTTGAAATGCACACAGGCAGGATGCAGAGGATATCTTCACACAAGCGTGGTCTGGCTTCTGGTAAAGAGTAGATGCACGTGTGAAGGTAAGGAGGAAGAGACAGTACAAAGCATCTAAGTACCATTTTCTAAAGAAAGGTCACCTGGTTAGGAAATGAACCTGGGACATTCTGTTCTATGGAAGGATAATATTGGGGCAACAGTGAAACCTGCATAGGGACTGAGGATCCAGTAAGGTAACATTACCGGCGTTAACATAGTATTTTCAATAAGTTGCGTGGAACAAATCACTGTTCTAGGAAACACACATTAAAGTGCTTGGAAGCGACAAGACTTTAGGTTAGCATCTCATGCTAACAGTTCCGAGGAAAAAGTTCTCTGCAGGTAGCTGAAACTTTTCATCACATGAGATTAACACGCATGGCTGAGCACACATGGAAGTGGGGTGAACAGGAGACTTACTGAGGTCTTCTGCCAGCTGAACTCGTTTACCGGTAAGCAACTTAACTTTCTTCTCACTGTCTTCAGCAAAATCTTCCAATACCTCCTTAACGTTTTTCTCCAATCGCCTAACTGTTCAAAAATAAACAAAAAATAGGAGGAGCCAATTTTTATGAATGCACAGGATGATAAAATAGTCATGTGTGGGAACACAGTTCTTACTTTTTATCATTGTTACATCTGCTCTTGAGTTCAGTTTCTCAGTTTACCTGGTACTTTTGTCAGCATGACACTGGTCCACCCTTACAGAGAACGACACCCTTACCCTGTAGCATTTTAGTGGGAGCAGATGTCTCAGAACTGTAAGTGATGCTCAGGAGCCCGTCTCTATTAGAATTTCAGTGTGATGACAGCAGATACAACATAGCACACTACAGCTATGTGCCCATATTTCCTCATTATGACTTTTTTGAATTAATATTTTAAAGGAAAATTATAATTTTTAGCTTTTCTAATAAATGTTTTTGTTTGTTTTTGGAGAAGGGTCTCATTGTACAGTCCAGGCTGAACTCTTAAGGTCACCCTGTAGCCCGCGATCATGCCCTGTTACTCATGATCTTCCTGCCTCACTCCCAAGTGCAGGGCTCACAGTGGTACACCACTGTGTCTGGCTATGAGAAAGCTATCTTTGAATAAGCATCTTTTTATTAAAAACACCAAAACTAGAAAGCAGTCTCTCAGTGGCTCACCTTCAGTGTTTGTAAGCTGCTGCCGTAGGGTATTCGCAGTGATAGTAAGCATGCGTTGTATTCGCCAAAACAGGACCACATCATTGCATTCCAGCTGAATTATTAAGTAATTAAGATTCCCAGATACAATTAAAAGTAAAAATAATGATCAGAAACATGTATAATTACCAAAGTCAGTATGTATAGTCTTATAGATAATAAAAAATATTCAGGTTTATCTAAAACATCTATCTTATAAGAGATGTAGAATGTTTCTGCCAAGATTCATAAAATTCTGCAGGATTTGGGCTTTATTATTCCCTACAAATACAGCTTTGTTTTAATTCTAATGACAAAGCAAATGAACTTGGAAAGTACAAAATTTCATTATGCTTTATATACATAGAAATGAATAACAAATACCCACAATTTGTATGTAGTTTTAGTTAACAATTACATTTATCCTAAATATATTCTTTTTTTTTTTCCTTCTGTTCAGCCATTTCATATAGGAGGAGGGCACTGAAAAGCCCTCTTTCAGATCATGGCAACTTTCATCTGTCCCATAAGCATAGCCACAAAATCTATCACAGAAGAAAACGTGGTAGTCAAATGGGAAAGATCCTAAATATATTCTTAAGTCAACTTATTTTATTCCTGTGTGCACTCATAGTATTTTTAAAACTCAAGTATACATGAAAATAAACTGACTTTTTAAAAAAGCCTTATTTGGTAGAGAAAGGTCTGTTCAATGACTAAAATTATGCAAGAAACTGGTTACTTTTACAGGTATGTTACAATACAAAATGTTTGAAGCTGCTTAAATCAACAGAAAAGCATTTTAGATGCTTCAATTAAGTACGAACATTGACTAAGAGAACTTTTTCAAAAGGATATGTATTTGCAAGCATTCTCAACTGTAATGAAACGCTCAAAATACGCCTAACTGCTGCCACCTAGAGCCTACTGTGCAAAAAATGTGACGTTAAATAATACAAAAGTCCAAGAACTTTATATATTTCTTTTAAAGATCACTTAAGACTGTGGCAATATAAAGAATGAATTATGATACATGAAAAGTGAACAAAAATTATTTTGCTATATGAGTCCCACTATGCAAGTAAGTGGTTACATATACACTCCTTCTGTGTAGAAAAGTTGAAATAAATACATAAAGGTGATAAGTAAAATGACTTCCAAGTCAGCGAAAATACTGACATTTCCTTGGACATAGTCTTTTACGTCCTTACGGCATGACCAATGACAGGCTTGGAAGACGCCAGTATTACAAATGGCAAGTGTCTTTGAAAAGTTACATCATTCTTTATAAATGATATATACTTTTTTCAAGATGATCAAAAGGACTTAAAAGTTAATGTATAAAGCTAAATTAATCTTTTATACATCTTTAAACAACTATAGTTATGAAATATTTCACTGGTTTTGGGAAATCTTTACCTCAGAGTCTACAAAATGCCTTTGGTAGTAATAAAAGCCTCTTCGACAAAGGTTGCAATGGTTGAGAGCTGTTTTTAGGAAATGTCTTCTGTAAACTTGATGCCAAGTATCCTTAATCTAGGTGAGAAAACAAACAAAAAAGTTATTGTGCATTCTTCATATTGATTGATCAATTTATTATAAACAGCTGGTTGTGGTGGCGCATGCCTGTACCCTAGCACTTGGGAGGCTGAGGCAAGAGGATCACCAGGAGTTTGAGGCCAGCCTGGACTACACAGTGAGTTCAAGACCAGGTGGAAATACAGTGAGAACATGTCTCAAAAAAAAAGTAAACAAAACTTACTATAAAAAGTTTAACTGAAGGCAATAGCAATGTTGCTATTCTACCGGTTCTTTTTAACCACTTACATTATTTTTCAAGACAAAGATCAGATTTACTAGTTTATGTACTTCAACATTTGCAACGTTTTAAACAAACACTGTTGTTATAATCAGTCACTCTGTAGAGTAGACAGGGTGGAGATTATCTTTGTCTACAGGTGAGAAAACTATGGCAAAAAAGTGTGGAAAGCCTTGTCTAAGGAGAGTAAGGACCAGGAGATGGTCTCAGACTACATCATCAGCCCAATTCAATCTCCTTGTTGATTATTAAATTTTACTTGGTCAGATCAGGATGATCTCTACCACTGTACTGAGAACTCAATGCTCTTTCATACAGCTACTGTCTTCTGCTGTGAACAGGATAACGCAGCAGCAGCTGGAACCAACATCATTAGTACTATCTGACAGAGCACAAAAGAAGCCTAGAGAGCTATCAAGTACAAAAGGCAGTATTACTGATAATATAATGCAATTGTTTTAGAATGCATGTTTCCTAATATCTAATAATTCTTTTCTTAGAATTTGGCTACTTGTTTTAGAGCTTTATAAAATATACTAAACAGTGTTACTTGAAAAAAATCTGAGATTTTTTTGCTTACAGAAATTTAGATACACATCCAATCCATACCCTAGGATAAGGGCAAAAGCTTAAAATCAGGAAAAACACATAACCTCTCCCAGTCCACATCAAAAGAAAATTCTTCCTATTGTATTTATCAGAGCATCATAAAATTTAAAAGTATTATACAGGTAGGGTAAAAATTATGCAAAATGTTTAGGACCAGAAGTGTTTCCGACTTTGGAATTCTCTAGAGTTTTTGAATATGTGCATACTCATGAGATACCCTGGTAACATATCACAAGTCTAAACACCAGATCTGCTTCTGTTGCATATACCCGTTACGCACATGCCTGAAGGCAATTTTAAATAATATTTTTAGTGTGCCTGCGTTTTGACTGAAGTCATTCAGGTGTAGAATTTTCCTCCTGTGGCTTCAAGATTGAGCTGAAGTTTCAGATTCTGGAGCATTCTGGGTTTCATATTTTCAAATTAGGGATACTCAATATGTATGACTTTTTTGTTAATGAGAGCTAATGCAGACATAATAAATCTATAGCCAACTAAAAATATCATGTTCCATAACAATGGATATAGGAAGAAACTTTGTGACCTTTACCAACTTTCTTGTTCTGACTTTTGGTAGAATTTAAAGTAGCAACTTTTACACATCAAGCATAGAAACATAAATAGCAGGTAAACTTTAAAAAAATTATAGTGCCTCTGAAATATATGATTACCTTCCCCATTAAATTTACTTCTCAGAGGTTCACTTAGCTAGTATTAAAATGAACTTTTGAATTTCTTACAATCTAACTACTAAGCAATAGGAAATAAATGCTTTAAAAACACAAAAAGTTTTAAAGAAAGTTTTAAAAACCAAATTTGTACAAATAAGCCTTCTGAAGTAAAAACTATCCTTCAGAGCTAGGCATGGAGCCATGAGCCTGTCATCCCAGCACCTGAGAGGCTGAGGCAGGCAGACTGCAGGTTCCAGGCAGCCTGGGCCACACGGCAAGTACGGTCTAAACAGACGGTCCTAATGCTCCCATTTACCATAAGACAGAAACATGGCAGAACCCAAAGGTCTTATCCAATTCAACAGAAACTTACCCCAGGTGTTCCCTAACCCACATGCACGCACAGGGATATGTATGTATCTGTCCATAAGTAAGCCACAATTAAACAGGAGTTTTGTCTCACACTCTGACACAGTGCAAAGTGTATAGAAGTCCTTTTTACAACAGCAGCTGGCCTTGCCCAGGTAAATCTAGTTTCTTATGTCTAAATTTCTGCACCTACAAGTTAACCTTTAAAAAGAAATACAGAAAATAATTTTCTATCCTTCACACAATCGAAACTATTAACTTTTTTGTTGGCAAAGGTATACACAATCAAAGGAAAATCAAGCTCTGAACTAAGTAACACACAGAATTAGTAACACTGCGCTGCAACAAACAGTGCTTAAGGAGGTGGATTCACGCTTTCCAACCACATTTATTACCAGGCTTGGGTCGACTTCAACTCCTCGGGATTCGAGGTTCTTCCGGACGGTGGTTATCTCATCGCTTGCAAGATATGCTGGGTGCTCCTCGTTACATTTCAACATCTTCTCTAGTTCATTCTTGGTTTCATTGTGAACACACTTTAAAATGTTTAAAAGAGGGCTTCGTTTACATGGGTCATAATTTGGCACTTGTGAAAACAGAGTACCGACTTTGGTAAATGTGTTACTATTGCATAACAGTGAACAAGTTCTACCGCACAAACCAGTGAAAGCCAGTGCCTTGACTTAGGAACACAGGTAAGCGGTCTTCGAATGCAGAGCAACTGGCTTCACAAAAGGGGAAACCACAGGAAGTGGCCCTGTTTGTTGTGGTTTTACTTTTGCTACAACAGCACCAGGTACCTTAATACACGCTTTCTTTGTGGACCTTTGGGTTAAATTTAGATTTAGGAAAAAGTACCTTGAAAGCATGGGAAAAGATAATGGGACTCACATCTGTTGATATGATTTTTTATGAAATAAACATAAATTCACAGTTTGAGCGTTAAAGACTTTTCATTAAAAAATTGTACTTCAGACTGCACCTGTGAAGTAGCTACCATTCTTAAATTCCCTTTCAGCCTCTTTGTTCATAAATCCCTTCAACAAAGGAGAACACACTCACACTAGCTGTGGGTTTGAAAACCACACTCTTATACTGTGGTCAAATAAACTTTATCTTTTCTTTTTGGTACTAGGAACTGAACTCATGACCTTGTGCTTGCCGGGCAGGCACTTGTGCTGCTGAGGTAAACCCCTGGCCCATAAATTTATCATCTTCAACCCTTCATTCGTTGCACAATAAAAGAAGCTAGCTTCCGGTTCACTTACTACTGTAAACAAATCACAACAGTACTGTCCCAAAGAGTACTGCATCTACTCAATCTGAGTACCTCTACAAGAAGAACGAGCCAGCCTGTGAACAGAACTGTGAATCAGCACTGAAAACACAACACTTGAGGAGAAATACTTCAGGAACCGGTGTTTACTCGCACACTTTTAGTCAGCCTACAGTAGGAAGGCAATCTCGCCCAGTCTGTTTCTGCAGCTGTGCCTATTCCAAGCGCCTCTCCTGGCAGCTGCACTTAACCTTCCAAACACAACTTCTCACCCATCTGTCCTGGCCATTAGTCTTGCTCAGGTATGGCGAGAATGCTTCAAAGGGTGGGAATTTTCTAGAAAACTAATGAAAAAGTAACAGGGAATTGTGATAGATTTCTCATCTTTAACACAGGAAAATCTTAGGCTTCTTTCCCTGCTAAATCTAGTCACACAAAAGACAGGAGGACTCACTACACAGCTGCTTACACTTACAACCCAAGATCTGGGGACACCCTCAGTCCCTTCCAGAATCCATGTCTCACTGTGACCTCCAGGTCTGAAGCCCAGATCACTGGCTTACAATGGCACTGGGAGAGGAGGAGCAACATCAGAGGAGGCTGCCGCAGCCATGATGCCGTCTGTTAAACGCACAGGGCGTGATGCTATCTTCTAAGGAAATGGATCACAGACAAGCTCCTCCTGGTGATGCTGATGCGCCCTCCTTCTACAGTCCAAACATGGCTTCCATTCCACATCAGCCTGGCTCTCCTGCATGCTGCTCTGAAACTCTGGGGGAAGAAGACTTTTCTTTGGCGGGCTCCCAGCTTCCTCTTCTGGGCTCACTGATCCTCTGCACTGACCTTTAATTCTTTTGCCTTTCTTGAAGGGAATCTCCTGTGTTCAATTTCTGGTGAAAAATAACCCATAACCAAGACTCCTTTCTCTCCACAGGTGCTTGGCCAAAGCATATTTACTACCCTAGTGGTTGAGGCAAATTCTGCTCTTGTTGATTGTTCTTAAGGCTTTAGGCCCAGTTTCACTGAGCACTGAAGGCCAGATGCCATTTTTCTCTTGAGTTTATCTGCCTTACGCCAGCTCTTTCTAATCAATTCTTCCTGTCTAGAAGCCAGAAACCTGACAGGTCCCCTAGAAACTCTTGTGTGGGGGACATCCTGCTCTCAGCCAGCCGAACGGCAGAGATAACTGACACACCCGGAACAGGCCTGGTCCAGTCCCTTCCTCTTCCCTGTCTCCTCTGCAGGCTCTTAGGGACTCGTTTTCCACAAAAATCACAGCAGCAGGGAGAAAAGAGGAAGAAAGGGAGAGAAGGAAAAGTGTTTCAAGTTGAGACATCTGATACGGAACTTATGAGATGAGAAATGTGGGGAACCAGAGGATTGATGACATAATTTACCTCACTATATTTAAAATGAAAACATATGTTTAAAAAAGGAGATATCCTGTGGTAATTTTTCATTCTGTTTACCTCCTCTCCTAATTTTTTCCTTTTTTGGGTTCCTTTTCTAGAAGTGGATGGATTCAAGGAGCAAAGGAAATAACACAAAGTAGGCTGGATGCCAACTCTTTCTATTCACTACCTCTTCGTTTATAGGTTCTACATTCTACTTGGACTCTTTGACGTGAGGAATGACACAGCGGCATGACACTGAATGCTGGACAGGAAGAGAAACCACAATACAGACGGTGTAGAAAGGGGGTAAGGCCTTTACATTTACCTGCAGTTTACTAACTTTTAAAGTTAATTATTCTTTAGCTTTACAATTTTGCAGAAGTGCCCATTAAATGACTATTAAAAGAATGAATTCTACAATTCTACCTTCTTTGAATTTTTATACATATTTCCCAAATCTAGGAAAAAAATAAAAAAGCATAAAGTAATTTAAGTAGACTACCAACAGAAAAATCCAGAGGTAGAAAAATCATTATATCCTTTTCTTCCTACTTACATTCACTGTACATCCTCTGAAATCACTGTTATTTTTTCTGTTTGTAAGTTTTGACTTTTTAAAATCTCATATAGGGAACTGAGATGAACAAAGTACTTGACTCTAAAAGGGTCTGTTTCATGTCTCTTATCAGCAAAGTTACTTCACTTTTTAAATCACTTTCTTAGATATCTGAAATTCCTAAGGTTTGTCTAGGGTCAGGCAAAGGCTGTGGTCTAAGGCTTGACCTAAGAGGAACCAGTCTGCATCATTAGGAAACCAGAGCTTTGCTATTACCTGTTCTTGGGTCCTGTTCTTCCAGTACAGCCACCTCTTTTTCCAATCTGGACCTATCATGTTTTCAATTGCATTTTCAGCTATAAAAATTATACACATGAATCAGAATTTTGTCATTTACTATGGACACATAACTACACAGTGGTCTTACAAGTAATAGTGGTCTTAGCTATTTGTAAGTGCTATGCCAATTCAAAATCAGCTGAAGTAAAAGAAATAATTACATGGTACATGTATAAGAAAACTACAGACAGCATGTGTTTGATAGCTACGAAAAGCACAACTGTCTGCAACATCCCGGAAGGGCTGTAGCAAACGCAGTGTTCTGAAGTATAACATTGTAGACCCTGAGAGCGCACTCGAGTCACGTGTCCAATTCATCTAATGGTAAAGTAGTCATGAAGTAACAGAAACTTCCCACAAGTCACACCTAACTCATAGGTGAGGAAAGCGCCCAAGTGCCAGTCAGCACCTAACCGATGTCTGCTGAGGGGCACAGCGCCCAGTGCTACGAATGCCGAGCCCCGCAGCCCGCAGCCCTGCTTACTGTCTCTGAGCCGAGCCTGGAGCGCTTCTTCCATGAAGTAGATAGCCGCGTCCCACTGCTGCTTGTCGGATATGGAGCGGTCCTCCAGTGCGTTGTGCTGAATAACCCTCTGCAATGGCAGGACAGAACAGGCTCGTGTGCTTCTGTGCTCTCAGAAGCTTACCGCACACACAGCTCAGTAAGTGTCCGAGGTCACACAGTATCTCCCTCCAATACAAATGCAGGCGTGCCTTTCTTTCTTTCTTCTCTTTGTGTTTTTGGAGACAATGTCTCCCTATGTAATCCAGGCTGCCTGAAATCACTATGTAGCCTAGGCTGGCCTTGAACTCAGGGTGATCCTCCTGCCTCAGTCTCCCGAGTGTGGGTTTGCCTGGCATGTACCACCGTGCCTGGCCAGGAGTGCCTTTTTTATGCCTGCCTGTCACATTTCTATCTGAAAAATAAGCAGTGTAGATTCTCTCTTGGCCCAAATTAAACAAGTAAACTATGACAGAAAATACAAAGAGAGATACGGAGATAGGTATACTGTATATCTAACTACATACAATACCATTCCCAGAAGCCCAATATTTAAGGGCTAAAGATTTAGATCATCTTTACCTCTCCTTTCCCTCACATGCACTATGCAGTAACATTTTCAAAATGAAAGAGGAAAAAAATTACCATTTTCCCACTATTGACAGCAACAGAAATTTTTTGTGTGTGTGGTAAATTCTTGGAAAGTCTAGATGTAAATATTAGCTGTTTATTACAACTGATAACTGGTTTCCAAATTTCATAACTTTTTTTTCTTTTGGCACTAGAGATTAGTCTTACTAACTGCAGATTAGCCTGAAACTTGCAATCCTCCTGCCTCAGCCTCCAAAGCAGCTACCATTAAAAGTTGTGTGCCACCAGGCCTGGCTCAAATTTTGTAACTTTTGAGTGAATGAACGAAAATGACACCATTGTCTCAGAAAGCCAGTCTTTAAGGCACTTAACACAAATAAATATGTTTTTCAAACATCAATATAAACATTTCTTCAAAACAAAATTATCAATCAGGCATGCTGATGCAGGTCTATAATCCCAGCATTCAGGGTGGCTGAGGCAGGAGAATCTAAAGTTTGAGCCCATCATGGTCAGTTGTGTGAGATTCTGTTTCCAACAGTAAACTTAGAAAAAAGAAAAAGCAAAAAAAAAAAGAAAAGAAAAAATAAAGGAAGGGCTGGAGATGAAGCTCACTGTGAAGGTTCTAGATTCAATCCCCAAAAGAAAACAATACAAAACAAAAAAACCCAAAACAACCTATTGGCTCATGGCAAACTGCGTACTTTTCAAGCAAACTGCTCAATCCTTTCATTTAACAGTACATCTTGTGGCTCTCCCAGCTGAGCAGGAGGCTACTGAAGGTTTAATGGTGGGAGTGGGTCAGCAGGTAGTGAGGTCAGAGTGGCTTTGCTGTCAGCCAGAGTAGCCTGCACTCCCCACTCTGCCAGTGGCAGTCCCAGGACTGGTTACGGACTAAGAGCGATGCACAGCACAGTTTTTGACACCCAGGATTCACCACCGCTGAGAGGCGCTATAGTTGCAGACTCGCCTGTCTACAGACAGGCCCGGAAAGACTAACGGATGGCAACTGTGCAAGTTTATGTAGCCTACTTATCGTGGAACTCTGTTTTTCTTTCAACTGACAGCCAAGAAGGAAACAGTACAAGAAGGGAAAATGTTAAAGGGCTGCTTACGATTATAAATCTGTTGCTATCCTTTTACAGTCATGTAGAAACAGCCTCCTGTGAAAGAACATCAGCTCGGACAGTTATTTTTCGAATGATGTTGACATCGTAAATGACATACCAAGCTGTCCTCTGCAAAGTCATTCCACTTGTGGCGCTTAATACTTTCCTCCTTAACAGCTTCTTTAAGTTTATCAAATATGTCATCGTGTTCTTTTCCTTTCGGTTCCGTCATGAAGCGGGCAAATTCTCCTTGTAGGGTCTCCCAAGCAACCTAAAATTATTTAAAAAGAAAAAAAGCTGCCACTATACTACATACTTTTAATATATAACATGAAAAATAACACATGCATATAACATGAAAAATAACACATGAATTGAAGCCAAAGAGATGTGATAAATCAGCTATTCAGAAAATACACATGAAAGTATGTAAATATACAGGTCAATATGGTCTAGAGATCTCGCACTGGTATTGAGTGGAGCAGATTTAAATTTGGGGTCTTGATGTGCTTTGTTAGACAAGCACAGTGGTTTAAATTTTAAAAATTATTTGTCAACATTTAAAGATCAAGAGACCACATAGAGGCACCTAGGTTTCTAGTGTATTTTAGCACCATGGAAACAGGCGCATGGCAGCCTGGTGAAGCCAAGTGGGCACCCACATTTGGAAGTGCACTGCAAGCCTGGCTCCAGGCTCAATTTTACTTTGCCCTGCAAGGCTGCCGAGCCTGTCTGCTTGTTCCACATTGTAAAAGGGAGACTGGTTTTTAGTTATGAAGTCAGGTGTCTTATCTTTGCCTTTAGGCAAAGATAAAAGTTCTAAACAGAGCTAAGTAGTACTCAGCTTTGTGTTAGTGCTAACTTGTAATTATCTGAAGAGTGAAGAGAAAACATGGTGGCAAAACTCACTAAACTTAGTTATGACTTAGTAGTAGTGCCTTTGAAGCATGAGACTTTATATTTACCCCACTGTCATTTTAAACACAAAGAAACTACGGTATACAGACAGGTAATTGCCCCCAAACACACAGTGAGTGATGGGGTGAGTACTCAATCTGCATGTCCTAACCCTAGCCTGGTGACATCCTTCCTACTGCTCCTAAGGCTGAGGGTACGAAGTGCCAGGAGACCAAATCAGTACACTTTTTATGAGCACTTCTGCTGCCTGAGCCTTACGCTAGGAAAACACCTGCTCAGAGGACAGGGCCCAGAAGACAGGGAGGGCAGCAAGGGGAGCTGGCGCACTTAGATGTGCTGAGACCAAGGTTCAGCAGCATGCACCTCAGGCAGACAGGATGCAGCAGTTCTTAGAGGGAGAAACTGGAGGAAGTGCTAGGAACAGGCCTGGAGCAGGACAGTCCAGGAGTGAGGTCACACCTCAGGGCTCAGACATTGACACTTCCAGCACCGCCCGTGAGCACCAATTCAGTGAGCAGCTCACACAGAGCACAGGACAACTGACTCGTAGCTAGAATGCACTACGTAATGTGCAGGACAGATCCACCTAGATAACCAGATACTATCAGAATCACTGAACCCTCACTACAATGCTGTAAGATAGGCAGTATCACCCCTGCTTTTTGATGAGGAAATAAAGATTGAAAGCAACTAGCCCAAAGATCACACAGCTAATAAGTAGGAGAGTCCAGATGCATGAGCAACAAAAAATGGATTCCAAAAGTATTTTTTCGTAACTCCCAGTTAATGTGGCAGGATCCTAACAACATGATTATGTAAGTATAACCAATCCCTGTGGAACATTAACAAATAAAATGACTGATCCATTAAGCATTTTCCTTATATCATCTCAATCCACAGAAGTTGAAAATATTTCACACTAAAGCAAATTTTGCTGGCTTTCTTAGATATTATATTCGGAAGAACTAACATCCTTGACCAATTAGTACATTTTCCCAACTTGTAACTGGCAGCAGTGTTTCGGTTAGTCCCAGTACAGAGGAGAGGGACAAAGTGGAATTGGAATACACAGCCCAAAAGAAAAGATAGCGGCTGTGATGAGAATAAACCTGCAAGCACAGCGCCTACTCCCTTCAGGTGCCGTTTCTTACCCATCTAATTAAATTAGATCCTAACCTCTACTGCTTTATTGGGAAGCTGCTTATCAGTCCACTGTTTAAGCTTGATATCCACTGTAGTATTAAAAGTTCCTGAATTCATGGTTTGTGCAGCTGGAAGATAGATGTTTTCAATCACATGAGTTGATACTCTTTCCCACAAAGACTGTTGAAGGATTTCCTCCCTGAAATTAAAAAAATAATCTTTCAGGAACATCAAATCAAAGTCTTTAATAGCAGCTTGATTGAAGTATCAGTTGCACATATTTATGGTTTGATGTGGGTAAACATCTGTGAATACAGCAATTAACATAGAAAACGTGTCACAACCCCCAAAGGTGTAATGACTTGATCTGCCATCACTATGATTGATTTGTATTTTCTACAATTTTCCGTGACTGCAACCCCAAAGCATGTACTCAGGTACTTTTTTGTCCTTTTTCTTTCATCCAGCAAAGCTGGCATAATTATTTTAAAATTAATCATATTGTATACATTCATATTTCACTTATTTTTACTGCTGAGTAGGACGCCATTGTATGAATTTGTTTACCCATCCACTTGCTTATGGCCTCTTGGGCTGTCTCCAGTTGTTGGCTGTTGTAAATAACTGTTATGGCAATACACTTATAAATTTCTGTTTGGATATATGTTGTTACTCTTGGATAAATATGTAAGAGCCGAATGGTTGGGTCACAAGGGAAGTATATATTTAACTTTTTAAGATACTACTGGACGGTTTTCCAAATGGTTGCATCATTTTACATTCCCACTGGCAGAGAATGAAAGCCCTAGACCCTCTCATTCTTGAAAACACTTGGTATGAAGTCTTTCCCTTCACCTATTCTAGTAGATTTGCAGTGGCAATTCACTATGGTTTACAGTTACCTAATGACTGATCATTCTGAGACTCTTTTCATGCTGTTATTTGCCTAGTATTAACACACGATGCTTATGTTTCTGTTGCGAGGTCCAAGCCTGAAAACTTTTGTTTTTGGCGGTACTGGCTGACTGAATCCGGGACCTCCACACTAAGCTACACTGCCAGACTCCACCAAACCTTGTTTTATGTTTTATGTTTTATGTTTTGAGAGTAGGTATCTTGATTATTTTTCTCTTATTGCTGAGACAAAATACAAACCACCCAAAATTAAAGGAAAGGTTTATTTAGCTCACAGTTTATGGAGGACTCAGTCTATAATCAGCTGGCTCCAAAGAAGGGTGGCAAGGCAGAAGACAGCAAAAGCAGCAAGAGCCAAAGGGAGAACAAGTCTCTTTTCCTGCCTTATACTGTATGCAGGCTAACCCCCATCTTCCTCTTGGGGCAGGCAGAGCACTAACACCACCTCCAGGTCCCCTCCAGGCTCTCTCCAGGCCCTCTCCTGGCCCTCTCCTGGCCATCCTCTTGGACAGGCTGATGTTTACAATATCAGGACCCTGGCCTCCTGGTGAATCATTCAGTTAAATTCTAAGTTGACACAGTGAACAAACACATCCTAGAGAGGTAAAGGTATACCCTCTAAACCCTTGGATGTAGAATTACTTAGGGAATTACTTAGTTAAGCTTTTAGACTTCTCAAGTTGACACAATGTATCAGCCATTACCCTGAGTCTTGTTAAATAACTAAATGGCCCAGGTGGGCTCCCATTTGTGATCCTCCTACTTCCCCAGTGCTGGGATTACAGGTGCATGCCATCACACCTGGTCAAGACTAAAAACTATTAGCCAAAACTTTTGTACTTTATCAGACCACATCACATAGCATAGAAACAGACACTGCTAGGTTGACTATGTCAACATTTCATGATTAAGATAACAACATATAAAAGATAATAAAGTAAAAAGGCTTTGCCTCAAAAGACATCTTTTAGCTGAGCCCAGTGGCACATGCCTGTGATCCTACACTGAAGAGGCTACGGCAGGAGTATCTCCACAAGTTCAAGGCCAACCTGGGCTACATAATGAGTCCAAGGCCAGCCTGAATACCCTAATGAGCAAAAAAAGAAAAAAGAAAAAAAAGAAGAACCTTTAAAGCAAATCTCTAAGAAAAAGACAACTACAGCGATTAAGGAAAAATCCTAAAACGTTTATTTTGTTTTCCATTAATTAAAGTCTACTACAATAAAATATCACAGATAAAAACAAAAACAAAAGCCTAAACTGTATGGTTTATCAGGGTCAATCTTTTGTTTTGAACAGGGTCTTGCTATGTAGTTCAGGCTGACCTTGCACTCAGGACAATCCTCCTGCCTCAGCCTTCCAAGTGCTGGGATTACATGTGTGTGTCACCGCATCCTGCGGTCAATCTTAGAAGTAACCTCAACTGTGCAGGACGCAGCCACAGTACTCAGGTAGCAGAAATGTTCCTGCTGCCCCTAAGCCAATGGCACTGTCCTGGGGAAGCAGAATCTATACTGCAAACAACCCCACCCCACTAAACAGTCTGTGCAAACCCAAGTGCCCTGAACAAAGCACTCGGCTGCTGGCTTCACCTCACAAATCTTTACCATAACCAGAAAATGAAGGAATATGAGCAGAGGCTGTGTCTGAGGTCTGAAGGAGTTCCTGACATCATGTGGGAGAATTTAAGAAGGAAGATGGGAGACAAGGAGCTTGGCAGGGCCTGCGCCTCAGACTTTAAACCAAGTTCAGGAAGATTTCTGAACAGAAGCCCAGGATCCAGCCTCTGACACCAGGATTCTTCTGTCCCTGCTTCAGAACAGAGCCGGTTTGTAATTTCTTCCCAGGGAGTGCGTGGGCCAGGAATCTACACCCCATACTCTCCAAGGAAACTGTGACAAAACTGCAGCCAGTGCAGTCCTGACAAGCTGCTGCTCCCGATCTGTGGCAGGGCCACTGCCACCTGTCCTTACCGGCCTCCCCTGCCCTTTCACCACGGAGCTGCTGTCTTTGTCCCAGACTCCTGCTGCTCTTCTCTATCACAATTTGCATCGTTTTCCCAACAAGTGAACCACCTCACATCCTCACTCTCCTCCCCTGGTCTTTGCACCTTCAAATTCTCTGGCTCTCCCTTATGCAGCCGAATGTGCTTCAGAGTTAGTAAGGGAGAACCGCGTCCTCACTTCACAGTCTCTGTGAGGTCAGCAGTCCTCAACTGGCCCCTCAGAGCTTCCGTACTTGCGCCTGCCTGCCGGGTTGCACCCTATTAGCTGCTCATCACCAGTTTCCCCAGCATGTGTCCCGCATGCTTGGACTTACAGGAGTCACTGCCATCCAGGGATAACACCCAGAATTACACAAAATGCACGTAATGCTGTGGTTTTGTTATCTTCTTCATCCCCAAGAACTTTACCCACACTTCACTTTAAAGAAAAAAAATCTTTTTAAAATGAAATTTTTTTCTTTTAAAGGAGCGAACTTACAGAACATAATTTCAATCAGTACAGAGAAAGTACTAAGTCCCTATGATACCTCTTTGAGGAGGCAACCACTTTCCAGTTTATCATTTAAAAATATAATACCTACATAATTGTTTATATGGGTGTGTGCATTTACACAGTGGGTCATATCACCAATATCGATAAACTTTTTAAACTTACAAGTATATTGTATATAGTGTCGCATGTCAATATACTAATTTTTCAATTGTGCAGAGTAATTTACTCTATCAGTAAACTAAATACTATGTAACTCCAAATAAAAAACATGAATTGTCCTATTTTTAACATCTGTAAACAAAACCATGGTGAGGCCTGTAAGTTTTGTCAAGTATGCCTTTGTTTCCATATATTTCTAGCAATGCATACCAGATATGTGTATTCACTACTTATGAGCTCTTCATTTTTTTTTTTTTTTTTCTGGTACTGGGGATCAAACCCATGACTGTGTGCAAGTCAGGCAGATGCTTAGGCTGCTGAGCTAAATCCCCCACTGCACTTGGTTTCTAAAAGGTTTGCTGTCACTGCCTTAGACCTTGCATGTTTAATACATGACATTCATCCTCTGGGCTTGCTTCAGGGTAGGCATGATTTGATTTTAGGGCTACTCCATCCAAACAAAACTAACCTTTCCATTTGATGGTGCCAGAAATTAATTTGCAGAAGGATCACATTTTTCCTATCTGAAACAGCGTTGAATGTTTTAATCATTTTTGATGTACATAACATCACACATAACCTAAAAAGATAATTAGTACTATACTCTTTCAACACATACACACCCTAGTTATCTGTGTATGTCTTACAACTTCCAAAGCTAACTGACTTTACACATTTCTCTTTTTGGATAAGGCAAGATTAAAAATGGGCAAACACTGACTCCTTGAGGAGAGATGAGGGATCATCACTGGCATGCCGGAAGAAGAAACAAACTGACACGAAGAAACTAGGGAGAACAAATTCAAACCTAAGGATCAGGCCCTTGTGTTTTGAGTCAGTGGTGACAACCTTTAACTGGCTGAACAAATACAAAAGGTACCAAAGTATAGCTCTGTTTCAAGAATAGTAAGTTCTTAAAAACACAGACTTCATTAGGGATGAAGAATTGGTTAATTAAAATATCAAAAAAACTTCAAAACTATACTCAGCACATTTGCAGTACATATAGTCTATTTGTTTGCAATGCTGTATTCCAACAAATTTAAAAATGTTGGTTTCCATAAAACTAAGTAGAAAGTGATAGTTTGCCTTAAGAAAGGCCTGATGAGAATTTTTCAAAGGATGCATTCACTTGCTTTTAAAAACACTTAAATAGGATTAAATTCAAAACGTGATTTGTATACAATACAGTGAGCACATATTAACAAAAAGCGCCCAACTATTCTTACTTTAAAATGAGAATCTGAAAATACATACTGCTCTCTTTTATAAACCAAGTTTCTCTGGTTTTGTGCTCTATGGTTACTCTAACAATAATCACCAGACCCAACTGAAAGCACAATTTTATGAAACTTCTCTTGAAATGATTTTATAGAAATCATGACTATGGATTTATTAAATAAAAGATAAAGAAAACACAAAGATGAATGCAGATGTAAAAAGAACACAAAGTTACTGTCATGGCTTGGATCTGAAAGGGCCTCCGAAGGCTCATGTGTTTGGAAGGTGATTAAAGGCCGGGGGCCACACCTGATGCACTGTTAAGAGATGGGGCCCAGGTGGAGGTGTGGGTGACCTGGGGGTTTACTTTCCTCACTGCTCCTCCCTTCTCTCACTGCTGCCTGGCCAACACAGTGTGAGCAGCTTTCCTCCACGACAGTCCCTTCCACTGTGCCACTGCTGCATGAACACCCGCCAACCATGGACTGAAATTTACGAACCTGTGAGCCAAAGTGAACCTCTAGGCCTTCAAACCGTACATACTGGTACTGTGCCACAGCAACGAGACAGTGCCAAGACATTTAGCTTAGGAATTCGGCCGGGTAGGCTACAGTAACAGCTATTTTGTAAAGTCATGCTTTTATCTTGCCTACTTTGAGGGTGACCAAAGGCAAAAATCATTCACTATTTGATCAATTTACATTTTAGTATTTCACTGTAACTCACATAGTAAAGTGGTTGAGACAAGGATAATAGCAGTCAAATACTCACCAATGTTTCGGTGTAACCTGGCTCAGACTGATAACTTCATCAAGGATCTCATTTTTAGCTTTTTCAAATAGTTCATTCTAGGCAATACAGATAGAAAGTAGTAAATTTGCTGTCATGATTTTAAGAGATAACCAAAGGGAAATCTTTGACATGAAGATCAGTTTGGTATAGGTTTGAACATGCAGGCATGTATTTCAAAAATGCTTTTCTAGTCTCATTCTTTCAGGAATATCATTAGCCAAATAAAGTAAAAGAAATTGATACAAATGTCCACCTTCCTCAATCCTGAATGGTATTTTTCACATAGCATTTGTTCACATAAGATTTCCACATAAGAAATGTTACATGAAAGTGTCAATACACAGTCAATTTAGCCTACCAGTAACAGTAAATTAACTCTGTGTTTTATAACTAATGATATTTTAAAATCGAAGAACAATATTTTGTTTCCACTAAATTAAGAGTACATTTCTGCACGGTAAATGCTCAGAAGGTAATGCATTATTTTAAAAATAGATTGTGTATTACTTCTATGATCGTTAAAGAATATTCTTTACCTTCTTAGAAAATATTTTAAACAGTGCTTTTGACAGCTTATGATTCCTAGTTGTCTTAAAATATTACATAACAAACAATTTAAATTACTGTAGAAGAGATAAATGTTCCTAGGTAGTTCTGGTCAATGCCAAAGCAATTTTAGCTTAACATATTTCTCTCATCAACATCAATTTCATTAGAATAAAGTAAATTAAGACATACACAAAATATATGAAGTACCCAAACATTACCCGGTCAAGTTCTCGCAGGCGAGGATAGTTATTCTTCCACTCAGTTTCAAGGTTAAAACGTGTTGCTGAGGAAGAAGAGATTATGTTCAGGTTTGATGGTTCTTCCCTTCCAGCTATGGAGGTTAATGGCTATCTTGCCTATCTTCTGTATTAACTGGATTTCAGAGGGTGTTCCTATGGCTTTTATACCCCAGGTTTTCAAAATCTTACAATTTCACCCTTGCAATAGCTAGCATTGATTCTGGTTTCATTTTACAAAGCCACAGCCACAGCAGTTTAGCAGGCTACATCTGAGGAATGGACTGTGGAGCCATACTGCTGAGATTCACATCTACCTGCTGTGACACTGGTGGTGTAAGTTACTTTGTACCTATGTCTTCTCTTCTGGAAAACAGGAATAAAGATAATACAATGTACCAAGAAGTGGGATAAATAAATCTTCCATGTGAAACCAAAGAGAGGGTGTGTTCCCATCAGATGACACCATGGAAGCAAAGCCTGGTGGGGGCAGTGTGGGGAGCAGCCAGGGAGCGGTGCACACAGCTGAAGCACAGGTGATCGGCTTCCCAGGGAGCTCCCTCCGTTCTCCCTATTAAAGAACCCATGTTCCCTGTAGTTCACTAATCTTTCTCACTGTCAGCACTGCAGACTGTCTGGTTGGTACTCTGCAATGGGCTCCCAGCAATGTTCCCTCTGAAAGAGGCAATCTAATGGAAGGGTTTCATTTTTCCAATTTCTACATATTGACTAATAGTAAATCAAAACTAAGCAACTATTAAAGGGAGTGAAAAATCTGATGGTTACTAAAGATTTTCAGCTCATACAAGTGTCTAAGTTTGTTTGCTTATTTTAAAACTTCAACTTACCCTTGAAGCTATCAGCCTGCTGTTCAACTGACTCTCGAACCATTTTCCAAAAGCAGTCTGATACGGCAAGGCTTAAGTTTCTTGTTGTCACTTGGTGTGCCTTGAGCATACTGGTTCTAGTTTTTAAAAAGTTAAAATATATTAAAGTGACAAAGGCACAGTAACTTATCACTGAGTTGGAGTGGCACTTGTGACAACAGACACAGTTATTTACACTGATCATACCAATGCCATGCAGTGAAATGCTCCGCAAGAAGAGAGTGTGTTCCACGTCTGAGCTGTCTAACAAGGTAACTGGCAGCCACATGGGCTACCCAGCCCTCGAAACGCATGGCTGCTGTGACTGAGGAAATGAATTTAAAACTTTACTGCATATTAACTATTTTGAAGTTTAATTACCACACAGGACATATCACTACAATATAGGACTGTGCAGTTCCACAGGCTTGGTTTCTTCTGAATATATACATCTCCAGACTATGTTTGCAAGAACTATTCTGATTTACTATATGAATCTACTTATCTATTTCCAGAGATGTTTTATATAAAACATTTCAGTTACCCTATTAGCCCTCCTTTTTGCTTTTTGGTTAGTACCTTATTTTCAGACAATTTCTATCAATATCGATTTAGGGATATTCCTTTGACACCTCTATTTTATCTTTCCTAATATAGTAAGAAATGTGTGGACATATTCTAAAACTAAAACATTAATTTTTAAAGAGATTCCTTCTTAAGTAAGTGCGTGCCATCTCTCTATGCCCATGTGTCTGGGCAGTTCATCTCACCCGCATGCTGCACATGCATGAGGCATAATAAACCGCTTCCAACTCTGCTGAAAGGTAGCTTAGAGCTGCTTATTAGATACAGACTGTTAGTCAAAGTTAAACTAAGTTGCAAAACATGAACTTTTAAGTGAATACAGTTCAATTTAAGCCATTGTCTCACTGTAAAATCTTTAAATATTTTAACAAGGTACCTACTTTAGGAGTTTTGAATTCTGAAAAAATTCCTCTTCATATTCTCGTATAGCTTCAATGCTTTCTGAGCTGTTTCCTACGGAAAGACAGCAACATTTTCACCAATAAAATGCATTATCTTAAAGAAAAAAAAATCCCATTAAATTACATTATAATAGTTCATCTTTGCATACCTTTTCCTGTTACAACAGCAAAATAGCCCAGAGCCTTCATTGGAAATAGCTTTCCTTCAATTATCTGCTGAATCTATTTTAAAAAGTGGGAAAAATAAATGTGAGATATAGACTTATGTAATTTTTAAAAGAATATATTATTCAGAGAGTAAAATAAGTACAATTACACAAATATGTTTATCAAAATACGCAGACTTATGTGAAAGCATTAGAATACAGTTGCTATTTGAGGAAAAATGAATGTATTCAATTTTACTATACTGACAATCTCTTGTGCAGATGCGTACCACAACACAACTCTGGAAAGATGGGGAGTGCTTTGGGGTCAGAGAGCCCACAGTCCCAACATGTGCTCTGCCACTCATTTGCTATAGGCCTGAAGTGACTGACTTTATGTTTCCAAAAGGGCTGCTGAGATTACGAGACACTCAGTACAGTGCCAGCCATAGAGATCACACTCAGTAAATGTCAGTGTTTATCATTTCCCCATAATTTCTTCAAATAACTAAATTCTAATCAAGGAGGATTAACTTTTATTATTTTGTCTGCCCCATTTCCCATTCTAATACTTGTATCCAACAGTTCTCAATTTCTGCAGGGTCAAATTTCCTTTTCTGAGAATGCACAAAATCAGACTTTATACCCTGAAAAAGTGCAGAGATCTATATTCATCTACATATGATGTAAAAGTTTCTACCCTCTGAGACACATTCAGATTAATCTGGAGTAAGAATCTCTCCATTAATGTGAGTTACCATCCACATGAATCCTGAATCTTTGACATAAAAAGCCTGCATTTCAAATGAAATTCAAACTGACTCTCCTAGAGAAGAGAAAGCATTGAAAGGAAAAGAGAGAAGGGAGCCCACTTTGCCCTCCTTTACTCCAGGACAATCTCCTACAGCAGGCCTCTCCCTTAAAAGCAAGGCAAGCAGAGACCAAGGGGGCCAGGAAGGAAGAGCTAACCCAGCAGCCTGAGATCCCTTAAAAAGCCCTGCCTGCCTTCGCCTGGTATCTGGGAGCTTAACTGGAAACAATCACCTACACTGACATAAAACTTTCCCTAAGAAACAGTGGCTCGTTGTGCAAGCAATATGTCTTGCACTGAACACCGCTTTTCTTTTGGGAGCCTGGAATTTGGTATGCTACGATGCTGACCTAACGCGCTTCTGAGAGAGGCCTCAGGTGCTGAGTCTCCTTGTCGCCAGGGATGAAACTGCCTGTGTGATTCTCCTGGAAGAGCACTCTGGGAAGCTTGGACTGGCTGCCTCCAGACTCCACCCCTTTTCCTTTGTTACTCTGCTTTGTACCCATTCACTGCAATGAATCTCAGGTGTTCCTACAACTGTGTGTGAGTCCTGCGAGCCCTTCTGGAGCAGATGTGTCCAATCTGTGGCCTACAGCTTGAACATACTTACATTACAAAAAAAAAATTTCTTAAAAAGAAGTTTTGTTACTTACATACATTAACTATGTTCTATGCGGCCTAAGGCAATTCTTCTTCACAGGCTAAGCACGATCCAGGCAAGCCAGCTGTGTCCAACTCATAGGGAATCAATAAATCTGGACTTGCCTGTCTGGGAGATCTCTGATGCAGAGGCACGGTCCCAGAAAGTGTGAGTGTAAGTGGAACAGAGCCCTTCTGCACAGCAGCAGTGGGGCAGGGTCCCTAATGTCTCAAGTTGTTCTATGGAAGATAACGGGATGATAATACTCAGAGATGATAGCCATTATAGACACAAGGCTTGTGCCAAGAAGCATTCCTATCACTTTACAACCTATGAGACAGTACCATTATTATCTCCAATTCTATCAGATGAGGATGGCTAAGTACTGAAAAGTTAACCTATCCAAGATAATATAGCTGGCAAATGGTAGGACCAGGAGTTGAAACTAAGCCAGCTGGCTGTAGATTCTATCCCTTAACCATCACCTTAGGCCTTTACAACTAATTAGAGAGCATGTTTTAAGTCAACACTTGCATCCTAACAAGACACATAATACTACCTTGCAATAAAACTCTTTTCTTGTTAAAGGAGGAGGAGGGAGGGAAGTTGCTGGAGACTTCAGCAATGTAATTATAAACACACAGATGGAGGTCACTGAACATTATGCATAGAACTCATAGACTTTCAGAAATGAAAATGGCCTTAGCCTAATCTAGTTCAACAGACTGATGAAGTGTACTCTGGACTGGCTAAATTCAGCAACCCGACCAGGCTGCATAAGAACACAGAGCCAGCAGGTGAGGAGCATAGGTAAAAGTGCTGGAGTCTAAGTTCAAATGCAGTGTCTTTTGTGTTACATAACAATCCGTTATACAGTCTTGAATAGAGAATGAAATTATACGAGCACTAGTTTATATATACCAACTAAAGGAAGAAAGAAGGAAGGAAACCAGTGAAGTCAGGGACTACATGTCAGCATATACTTATTATTATGCTTTTACCTAACGTACTCCTGTCACGGCAGGAGCTTGCACAAAGAATAAATTTTCATGATAAAGAACTTGCCCTTACCCTGCTTGGGCTAGCTACATTTTTTTCTGCTAGGTCAACTTTGGTCAAAACAAATATGGTCCTTCTTCCATGAGGATCCATTTGGCTGACCAAGTCCGTAACAATACTGCGTTCAGCATCCACAGAGCCATCTGAAAAAAAGATTGAAAGATGAAACTGTGATAATAAATCTTAGTGCAAATGTATCTATGTTTACATCACAGTAATAAACATTTTGTTAATATATTCACTTTTAGGGGGCTGGGGATTTAGCTCAGTGGCATAAGTGCCTGCCTTGCAAGCATGAGGTCATGCGTTTGATCCCTGACACCAAAAAAAAAAAAAAAAAAAAAAAAAAAATCACTTTTTTTAAATGAAAGAAAATTTCAGCTAATAAAACTTTTTATGATGCTTCGGGGGAAAATTATTGAAATATCCACGACTTCAATTCTATTTATTGTACTAATAAAATGAACAACAAAAAGGGTAAAAAGCACTTGTCTTGCATGTCTACGTAAAGAGTATGATTTAGGACAAAGCTTGGAAAGCGTATCAGGATATCTGAAATCTTCCATGTCATTTACCTTGAATACAGAGGATGATGGCATTAGGGTTCTGCATGTAAGCTTTGCTGATACTGAAAATAGTTTCTTTAGTGTCAGGAGCCATGCCCGATGTCACAGTCTTGAAGAAAAAGGTTTGACATGTCACTGTGAGTGTTTTCCACAATAGAAATAGAATCAATTCACATTTTGTGTACACTTACATTAATCACACCTGGTAAATCAACCAGCACCATTCTCTGTAGTCCCGGGCCTTTAACATTTAATGATATGGTCTGTTGAGGAAAGAGAAAAATAATTCTAGGTTTTAGGGAAGTTTGTTAAAAAATTTTTGATGATACACACTCTGAAAACCCCTTAATTCTCCATTAAAGTATGGCACTCAGAAAAAATTCATTCTTTTTTTTAACTCTAAAATAATGACTAGAAAATTATGCATAAAGTGATACATTATTTGGAACATTAAAAAACACTATGTATCTTGGAACAGCTATACTGTAAACACTGACACCGACCACACCATTTCTTTGAACCTATAAACTTACTGCTGAAAAGAACCGCACCTCTTACCTCGGGGCTAACCGTGCAACCTTCTTTCACATTTTTCCTCATTCGGAGTTCTATTTCATGTCTTAATGCTGCAAGCTGTTAATGGAAAGCAATAAAATCGGAAGAAAATCTTAGTTTGCAAACACTTCATTTTGTTGTCTTATAAATACACAGGGATAATAATGCTATACATATTAACCTTAGAGAAATTCTACTTACATCCTCTTCTTTGGTGAGGTCAAACTCCCGGGAGCTATCTTTAAACAAGGCCACATGGTGAGGACCTTCACTCAGAGTCACCTGAAATGAGCAAACAACCAGCATGTAACAACATATTTGCAATTAACATTGATTTCTACAGCACCAACAAGGTCTAGAGCTGCCACTGCCCTGCCTGGGTCTGAGAGACCCTCACAATACACTCCAGCAGCATCTCTTTTAGTGCTGTTAGCATGGTAGGTCTGGAGTTTTCATCTAGCCATCACACATGCCGTGACTGCCCAACAAGATGGCTGGCTTTTAGACCAAAAGTGCTGCCATTTTGTCTTTCCTAGCCAATGTTATATACAGCCCCAAGTACAGGAGCATTACTCTAAAACTTAAGAAGAAAAATTTACACTTAATTTCAAGAGTATACTTAGCCAGGGGACAATTCATTGTTCAGCATCCGTAAGTGCACACACTTTCTGCCCAGTACTGCAGACGGGGAAACACTGCATTGACTGTCCCTGGAGCTCACAGATTGTCCCTAAACCTAACAGAACAATGCAACCATGCTTGGGGGCCACAGCAGAGAACAGTGTGGTATAAGAGCTAAGACACACTTCCCTCAATGGGTGGCATTTAGCCAAGAATATTTAACAATATATATCCACGGTGGTTTCATGAGAACTCTTATATTTTCCATTCCTTATCTGTAACTTTTAAAGCTCCTCTATAACTATACTATTTTACTTTAAAAAGACAACTCCTTCCATTGAGATTAGCTAAACTGGCTAAAGAAAAACAGCTGTCGAAAGGAACTACGGTAGCTTGGATTATGAGGCCAGAATCTCAAACGATTTGTGGGATTTTCCTGCAAAGATTTTCCATCAGAGCACTTGGTGGTTTGTGGCCCACGGGAAAGGTCCATGGGAAAGCTTAACAGCTCCTTGGGTACAATAAACTAAAACCAGAATTCAGGTTTATCAAGCTGCTGTGACTACCATGCTGAAATCCCAGAGAAAAAGTGAACCACAGAAGTGAACCTCTAACACCAAGCTCTGCACCGTGTGCGCCATTTTCCTTTAGTTCCTCTAGTATGAATATGAAGAAACCAAGCAAAAAGCAGCTGCTGAAGAGGTTAAAGTGGCTGGGCAGCACTTGCCAATTTTGGTGTTCTGGGGAGACAAAAATATGGTGATCAGGTCAAATGAAGAGACAAAGCCCTGGGAATCACAGAAGACTGCTGGCCAGAAGGAAAGAGATCAGGCTTGTCTTCAAGGAAATCTGTCCATACATAACTTCCAGCCAGAACAAGGTTAACTCTGTCCTGACGTATCACTCACAGCCTCTGCAATGAGGGTATGAAAGGCAGGTTTTCCAATGGGTTATTGAGATTTTTTCTCCTAAGCTGGCAGTACCCTAAATCCTTAGTAACAGTAAAGTGGACATGGAAAGCAGGGTACATTCACTCAATACCAGAGGAATGATGAAGGAACCAGGGTCACATCACGTGGTGCAATGCACAGACCCCAGAAAGTACACTCTGTTTGAATAAGACTAAGATGCCCAACACTCACTGTTGTTCTTACAAATAGAGTTCACTTCTTAAAGATTTTCACAACAGCTTCATTGTCTTGTTTTCTACCACTATTCTAGCCATAATTCTTGGTGATTTTACTTCTCCAATTCTTTGATTACTGTATAACAACCCGTGTCACTTGAACATGACAGGAAAGAACCCTACAAAACACAAAGCCCAAGCACACAAGATTCACTTTAAATTTACGCCCCCAGACCTTAATGGAGATGCCAGTCCAATTCAGCAATCCTAGCATCACCTGGCTTCATCGAATCACTACTAGAGCCTCCACGATCTATAGGAAAAACTCAATCCCTTTTCCTTTTTCTGTCCTCAGCACCCTGTAATTTGGCTCCTTTTACAAAGGCAGCAGATGCAGTCAGAAAACTCTACGTCCTCCCGCTTCCTGGGCTTCTCCGGTAACCTGAGCGGGTGCTTCTCAGCCTCATTGCCTGTCGGCAGTCCTGCACCACACTGATGACTTCCTCTCTGTGCTGTCTCCACCTGACTGCTGGCGCATGGCGGGCTCCGGTTCTCACCTATGGCACTGGCTGGTCCTTCACCTGTTTCTCTTTGTTTCTTCTTCCTTCTACCTCATAATGTAGGGAAGGTGCAGGATGCAGTCCTGGTTCTGTCTTCTTTCTCACTCACTGCTTTTAAGATCTCACCCATCAAGATCAGGGCTCTAAATACTATCATTATTAAAGTTACGTCTACAGCCCAGATCTCTCCACCCTTTGTTCAGACTCAAAGCCTCTTTGATTATAAGCATACACTCTCTTTGTCTCTCTCAAATGGGCAGGAAATCCCTGTCATCCTACTTTCAAAAGAGATCCAGAATTCACTTCTTCCTGCCTTCACTCCTCTTGCGCTGGTCCAAGCATCATCTGTGTCCATGATTCTGTATTGTCCGCATCTCTTATCAGCACAACAGCCAGAGCCATATAAAAGAAAATGTTATTCTGCTCAAAACTCAACTCCCATTTTATTCAAAATAAAAACCAGTCTGTACACTGGCCTACAAAGTGCTAAAATCTGCCTCTCCCATCTGTTTTCATGACTTACAACTCTTCAATCTGGTTTGGTGACACCAGCGTCCACACTGTTCCTTGAACATGACAGCCCTCATCCCCTGAGGGCTGCGTACTAGCTGTTTGCTTTATTGGAACATCATGGCACTAGGAAGCAACAGAACTCCCTCCTTCACGCACTGCAAATCTTGATTTAAATACCATCTTCTCGATGCAGCTACGCGCTTCAGCAAGCACCCTGCCATGCCTGTTCTACTTGCCTGGCTCCAATTTTTGTCTTTACACGGTGAATAGCACTGTTCATCTTCCAACAAAATATTTAGTTACCTGTCTCGCTTGCTGTCTGTCTCTCTCCTCTAGAACATGTTCTCTGCTATGGCAAAATCATTTGATTTGTGTGCCAACATATGGCCCAGAACAGTGCTGGCACAGATTAAGAGCTCCGCAAGTGTTTAATGGAAACCTCTACAGTCATTCACTTTTCTCAGGGCCCACGGATGGGCTGCTGGTGCTTCCGCTTACAGACCGCTCACCAGGCAGCCCCAGCCCCTTCACCTTACTGTTCTTACAATGGTGCCTTCTCTCACATTATTTCCCCTCACTAAGTCTCTGTAACTGGCATATAAACTGTCCCTACCCCACATACTTCAGTGGCCTGCTGTGTCCTCTGTCCTCTTCCACTGCACTCACTCAGCGCCTCCTACAGGTTCCAGACACCGCATAAAACCTTGTTCAGCCAAGTCTGTGTTTCTGTTGCCTGCAGGTAGCGGCCACCCTTCACGCAGTGGCCCCTGCTCACCTTCACTGGCGAGCGCGTCATCATCTCCCCGGAGCCCCGCGGGAATATGCGTGCCTGGGCGATCATTTCCAACACGCTCGTCTTCCCGGCACTCTGATCTCCAACCACCACAACCTTACCATGAAAATGAAGGACAGTCATTCGCATTTTTCTGACACCAATTAAATTTCAATAGATCTGGAATGTTGCCCTATGGCTTTTAGTATCTTAAAATATTTACAGATAAAAAATGATTTCTGAAAAACCCATGAAAAAATGGTTCAAATGGTAGGCACACTGAAAATATAAATAGCAAACATTAATTGGAACCATTATTTATAGTGAAACTTTTATTTTGTAAAAAGCGTCCTAATTAAAACCACTATTTCTAAAATCATATTACTAACTTTCCACAAATCTTTTCCATAGGTATTTTACTTTTTACAAATGCAGTTTGAATTCTTATAGATCAAATTTCATTTATATCCTTGATTTAATCTACTGTTTGTTTAGCTATTTTAATACCACAATACTTCATAATGCCACCTATCTGAGTCTTCTCCCACAATACATAAGTGTAAGTAATACACAGTTACAGGACATTTATGTTTACTCACATTTATATAGAACAAAACAGAAAGCCAAGTAACACTAGAAGCTGAACACGTCACCGGAATAAATGAGATTATACAGGTAAAAAATCTGTATGTCTGTATCAGTCTGTATCTATGCATGTGTGTGCATACAACACACGCACGCACGCACTCACGCTGCTTTTCCGAAGCTAATGTGATGTTTTTCTATGAGCAAATTCACTGTCTGCTACTTTTTCAGTTACCCGTGGTAGATGATCTTGTGTATTGTAACTTGCATCATAATCAGAGAGAACATCAAGAACTTCAGAATACATATCGATTAAAGATTTCTGTAAAAATTTTAAAAAACAATATTATAATACAATGACAATATTAAGAAAAAACTCAAGTGTATCAAGAGAAAAAAGTTGATAAATTCAAACTTTTTTCATAATCATTATATTGCTTTTTTCTAATTACTGTACTTGGATACATCTACATGGTAAAATCTTAAAGAAGACAGAGTAAAATTCCATTTCTTCTTCAGTTTATTTTGAAGTAAAATGATTAAATAAGTGCCTTAATTTAGGATTTCCTAGCTTTCTAACTGAAAGAGGAGAGTGATTAATCCTGATGAGTGAATTTTACAGGTCAGCAGACGAAAACCATAAACATCAAAAAGGCCAAAGGAGAAGTGACCAACTGACAAGGAAATTGTCCTTTGCCAAGTGTGGGATGTGTGCGTGACAAGAGGCGAGGGTAAGGAACATGTGCAAGTGGGTGCTGAGGCTAGAGCTGGAGGAATGGTCACTGGAAGACTACATGAAGCAGTCAGAGGGATTAAATGGCCTGTAGCGACGGGGCAGACTAGCACAGGACAGCACCTGGGACAGGCGGCCTGGACCGTTCTTTCTCTGGACCAGGACTGAGCATAATGCCTTGCATGCAGTAAGTGTCAAGTGAGATATCTGCTGAACAAATAAATTAGGTCCGAGAAAAAGGGTAATCATACAACAGCCTTTCTGTATTTTTACTCTGAGGCAGGTGTGGCTAAACCACTCAGGCTGGGCTTGGCTTGTGCTCCTCCTGCCTCATTCTTGCAGAGTGCTAGCTTATGTACGCCAGCCTGCTCAGCTTGGTTAAGGATGAGATTTAATGACGAGGTAAAAAATAAGTTTCCCTTTCCTCTCTTAATACCTGGAAGCAGTGAAGCGGCAAATTAAAAATAAACAAAAGATATTCATTATCATTGCATTTTATGAGAGAAAATACCATTTTCTGAGATAAACTCTTGACATACGGTGACTTTTGAACATAAGTTTCCTCCACTGCTAGGTGCCACTTGTAAATAAAGTGCTCATTTGGTACAGCCACGATTTAGACTCAGAGCGTTAATGTACATTGGTGAAACCAGGATGGATCTTTGGACCACGGCTACCGAAAGTAAATGCCATGATTTACTGCTGCTTTGCTATACTGGAGCAAATCATGTTTCCTTATTATGAGATTCTGCTTATTTATGAGATTTAGGTTAAAATAATTACTTCAATTTACACATCTGGATTGGCGGGGAATAATAAGATTTAATTTGCTAGTTAGGGGGGATGGCACACTCATTAATGATAATAGGTTATAGTTAGATGTCCATCAACCTAACAATTCTAACTTTACAGACACAGAAGAAAGCCTAAATATAAAATAGGTATTTCAGAAAAATATACTAAACTTGAAGAAATTACTCTTAAAAATAGGCAATTTATGGGGATGTTATAAAACACAATATAAAGCAAATCTCTGGGGACTACAACTTGTGATAAGTTGACACTGGGTAAAAACAGAATAAAACAATTTAGTTTCTTAAAAACTATTATCAGTGTTAAGTGTGTCAAAGTTCTGAGAGTTAAAAGTGAAAGTTAAAATACCTTCAGCTTTCTATGATGGATGCCTTTGTCATCTTTCTGCAGTACTAATTTCCTTAGTTCTTTGTTCTCCTTTTCTAAACGTTCCAAGATTCTCTGATACTTTAACTGCAACAAAATAAAACATACCCATATAAGATGGGTTAACAAATAACATTAAGTATTAATTAAAATCCTCTAAAATTCTTAAGTCGTATCACCCAACCATCTAAAATGAATTATTACTTTAAAAGCCTCTACTAAGAATATCTCATATAAACTGAAATTAGTTTTGACAATTTAGCATTAACTTGAAAAATTCTTTGTTACTTACATTGAAGAAATTATATTATCTAGAAATACTAGAAATAAGAATTTAAAGTCCTAAGGTACACCTTAAAGACCAATAATTTCTATTATATCAACATTTTAAATTTTCGTTGCAGCCATTTAACAAAAATTCAGATTATCCTTATGCCCACATTATTTTTTTTTAATCAAGATGATATCAAATGACAGAAGTTCATATGCTGAGCCAGTATTACACGTGCACTAATTCTTTTAGCTTTGTCAGAAACCCCATGAGGCAGGGGTTGTACCGCTTAGGAACTTAGGGTTAGAGACTGAAATAATAAAAAAGAACAATGTTTTTACATAATTGCTCATTTCTTTGCAAAATGCGAGTCTACATTTTCATTTTTTGGTACAGGGGTCAACTTGCAGCCTCCCTGTCCCCCAAAATGGACCAGGTAAAGTGGTGGAGAACTTATGGCATTTGTGTTACTTGTTTTTCCTTTTAAGACCAAAGATATTAATGTACGAGTTGTTTTTTCTGAACTAAAACCTCAGGATTCAGGTTTAACTGTGGTGTGTTGACACTTTGTGGTAAGTAAGTGACTTCTGGGTCACAGTTTGGGCAGTGTGTCTGCAAGGTTCACCAGCACTACGTTCTGCACTTTGGATGCATCACAGGTATAGCGAGGGCTCTTAAAACAACTTTGGAGGGTTCCACTCCTAGAGATTCTAGTTGAATAGGTCTAGGATGTGGCCAAGATCGGCATTTCTAACAAGTTCTCACATGGTGGACTTCTGAACTGCTGAGTAGACTCAACTGAAATTTAAATGCTACCGATACCGGACTATCAGTGGAAAATGCAAGCATATGTTTACTCAACAACAAACCTTTCTCTCTTTTTGCACTGCAGCTGACTTTTAAAATCAGAAGGACAAGAGTCGCTCAAAGTACTTTTACAAATAAATGAGTTAATTGAATACTTCCAACTTGTTCTTTCTTTTGCCTTCTCAATTATGTTCTGTATGTACTGATAACAGGATATACTATTAACCATTCCTCCCAATTTTGTTTTATTGAAAAGTAAATTTTTACAGCATCCAACTTTTGCTAGACTCTACTAAGAGAAACTACCTAGTTTTTCTTACCCATCTGAATTACCTGAGTATGCAGAAGTTCCTCTTGAAGTTGGTCAATTTTCTCTTTGTCTGATACCTGAATGTTTAAAATAAAAATTTTACTTGAGTAGAATTAGGTTTATGTAGAATGCACAGTAAATAAAATTTTTAAACAAGTATTAAGAACCTTTTTAAACAAGTATAAAAACTACTGGCTTCATATGCATGATTTAATAACAAATTTTAAATCATGAATAGCTCCTCAAAATCTTATATTATGAAGTAAAAACCTTAAAAAGAAAAAAAAACTTAAAAATGAGTAATTTTTCTGTTGCCACTCCTATCATTTGTTGTGAAAGACTTGTTAAAAAAATAAGAGACCAACAGAGATGGTTACTATATTCACAACAGATTGTCTGCCCATTAGAATCATGTTTTGGGAAATTAGATATGGTACTATATATAGTCACTGAAAAAGCTCACTGGTTACTGTGTATCTTGTACTTAGGGAATTTCATAATAACTACAAAGAACTTGCATTTTCAGTGCTCGTTCATTTCAGTGAGTAGAGTCAGACTCTTGTTTTAATTACTTAATTAACTATTATTATTATTTTTTGGCAGGGTCTCACTACTTTAGAGCAGGCTTTAACTCACAGTGGTCCTGCCTGCATCAGCCTCTTGAGTGCTGGGATTTTAGCTATGCACCACCACACCTGGCAGATGCTTATTTTTAAATTCAATTTCAAGGCCAAATCTGCTAACCCATAATATATGACTTTCACCTGTAGTGATGAAAGTGAAGCAACTAAAATTGACTTGAACATAGAACAAAACAAAACAAAAAATCCACAGGTATTGTGTAAACTACTTCAAATTACTAATAGTTCTAAGACAGAATATTTTAAAAACTTGAAGAATTTTATTATATTACAGGTTTTAAAGTAGTCACAATACAATTCCAAATACGAAATACAATGACAATTATAATAAAAATGTCACTTGTGACAAATCCACATGACTTTTTTGACTTAATAAGGTACAAAGTTGTCATCCTCAGCCTTTAAAAATAATTGTCTAGTTTCTGAAAATAAAAAATTGTAATATATATTTCATAGGAGGAAAAAAATCAAGTTAAATCCATTTTCTTTTTGATTTAAATCTTTGTACAGCTTCACTTGTTGATTATTTAAGCAATTAAGACATCATGGCAGCAAATATAAATCCAAAATTAAAATGACTGGATTATTAATAAATCTTGTCCATTCCCTAAAAAGTTACTTTCATCTTTCAATTCTTACTTCTAAATACTTTTTCAAAAAGTTTTCAAACTTTTAAATATTTTATAATGCTTGCTAAAAATGATAAGTATTATTTTTTGCCTTAGCTTACATCTGAAAATCTCTAAAAATAATTTAGTAATTACATAAAGTATAATATAACAAAAACTTTAATATGTTTTTCCAGCAAGCAGGTTTACTGATAGAAAGCAATTTTTCTATTTTGACTATGCGTGATTGTATAGAATAGACAAGAATTATTAACTGTCTTAAACTGTGAAGAGAAGTTGAGGAGGAGCCCACAACCCAAAGAACAAAATCTAGCAGGCCAATGAAGAAATAAAGAATTCCGCATTATGATCACATGGCATGCCGTCTTTCTGTAACAATGTGGTCATAAACCATTTCTTATGGAGACTAAATTTCCAACTCATTTTAAAAGATGCTTTGATTTTACTCTGTTTCAATTGCAGCTACAACTGTGTAAAATATATAAGAATTTTAGTTTCAACTATTTAAGCTTAGAATATGAATATTTACTAATTTTATGTACTACCTCTTAAATTGCTAAAGGTAGTTCAACATTACTCAACATCTGGGCAATAATTAAGAGATTAACACAATTATATAAAGAAAAATTAAAATGCTTATTATAAGCCAATGGTTATAAAAGTTTAACTTAGTAGTTTGGTTAAACAAAAAGGTTATATATCAAATTTAAGTGATATAAGGTTTTCTAAAGAATATTACAATCCTGATTTTAATATTAGTTTTTTGTGAACATGACTATTATAATTTTTATAAATTTGGGTGGTGAGTACTGAAATTTATCATTTGCTGCTCTGGCACAATTTTGATGAATAGGTGATGCATGGTTTATCAATATTCTTTCTATGTGTTTGGTTTAATGGAAGATCAAAATTAATTTTAGTGTTTGTCATAAAAGAACAGGTGGTGGTGGAGTCAAAAATTAATTCCTAAAATCTGGTACAATGTTTACAGAATAAATAGTAAACACTGATGAGAAGATACATGTTGTCTTACGAGAACAGCACAAAGTATTTTCAATCTAGGTCTTAACTAGTAACTTGGGTATGTTCATGTCTTGTTGTTTAATATATTTTGTTTTCATTATGAAATTATTTTGAAACTCACCCTGACAGAAATGGTATCAATAGTCTTGAAACCAGAGTTTTTCTACAATTCCAGGGCTGTGAAATTGATGGAGAAAGAGCGGAATCCTCCGCAGAAACAAGCTAAAGCTGAAAGAGAAAAACCTTTACTAGCTCCTCACAAAACCAAGCCTGATTTTAAATTTTTAAGTATTTCTCCCTTGTAAGACATTGTGGCCATTCTAAGAGTGTAATATGTATATACGGGTCACTGCAAAAATTTCTATAAATGTATACATATTATAGGAAGCAAAACTACCAATGGCAGTTTTAATCTACTGTCTCTGCTTAAGATCTTTTGCTCAGAAGATATAAGAATATTTATTAGTTGGCTTCTGACAAAATATTAAAAAATAAAGACCTTATATTTTCAAGAAAGTAAAAGGAATAAAAGTAACAAACAGTAGCTATACTGTTTAGTGCCTCAAGCAAACTTCAAGTGCCTAGCACGCTAAATTCTTATGAATATATATTTTGATCACAATAGCAAAGAACATGAAAGGCAACTCTACTAACTACAGGAGAGGAGGAGGGAAAACTAAGTAACTGGCCTTTCAGGATAATAGGGGGAGGATTTCTTAAAGCAAGTTATTTAGTTTCATACAAGGCAATTATAAAGAGGGCAGAACAAGCCCTTCCGGTGCCCATTCAGTGCGACTTCATAAACACAACAGACGCAGGAGCAGTCCCGCCAGTCTTGTCCACAGCTGGGGACAGAGACATATGCAAAGACTTATGTGGATAACCCTATAAACACTAGAAACAGGAATGATCCCCATAGGCCTCCATAAAAAGTAATAAATCAGTCCTAAAATGAACATTCATCTTTGGCAGTGTAGAAAATATATTAATATTCATTATTAATAAATTGTCAGATTCAAAGGCACACTAGTAATTTTAAAATATATCTTGGAATCTTAAAGTGGCCAGGTAGATAGGATTCATTCCAATTTTATCAGTACAAAAAAAAAACCAAAGAATAATTTGTAAGTAGTTACAACAGTATTTTTAAGCTACATACCAGAACAATCCTTTCTGTAACTAAACTAAGGTACAGACAACTCAGTATAAGCAGCCAATTTTAGAATATTTAAATGGTACACTCACAGCACACAGAACAGAGAATGGCAAGTACTATCAAAAATAAATCCTCCTCTGGTGTAATATGTCTATTGTAATCACACAAAAAAATAACTTCTTTTCTTTTTAACCTATTTGTTTAGCTATTCATTGACTGGAAGCTAAACAAAATATAGGTGTTGATTCCACAGCCATGGAGTTGAGAAAAACCAGGAGTTACACTGAAAAAGAAATGGGATTATGATAACTACTGTCCAATACTCGCCCACCAATGAGATGAGGTTAGCCAGTAGCATTACGGCACTAAATCCTTATCTTCAATATTGGCTGATTGAGACGTGAGAACCTACAAGAAGTAAATTAGATGACTGAGTCTTTCTTCCTGAGTAAGATTTGTATTTAATTGTAAAACTCTGCTGTGACCTAATAGATGTAACATAATTATCTGATTTTAAGATTTCAGAATGTAAGTGTAATACTTAGATCACTTTGATCTAAGTATCTTCAAAATATGAACCTAGGAATATATATTGTGGGAGTGCCTAACAGGCAAAAGATTATTTTTTAAGGACCTCTTGATCGCACCAATAAAAAATATATGGGCGATTCAACAACCGGACTACCTAAACAATAATTCATAATTTTATTCTAAACATAAACCCATGGGCCCTCACAGACAATCCCACCTTCAAAACCTAAATTCCTATGACTGAACTTGATATTTTAGGTTCTGCCTACACTGTCCATTCCAGAAAAGTTACATCTTTATATCAGATGCATCCTTGTTAAAAATGATTTTTCACAGTTGAAGTCCAAGAAAGGATTAAGGCGACATGATCTCGGCAGAAATGGCTGATTAGTGTGAGTACATCAGGAGCCCCGTTAAACCATCCATCACCTTGCGCTTCTGCTGGGCATAGCTTGAGCCATATTGGCCAGTGGATCTGCGTGCTTCCTCTTCATGCTCTTGAATTTGCTGTTGTAAGAGAATGAGCTCACCAAGCAGACCCTGCCGTGAGTTTACAGTGAGAAGGGGAAAATTGGGGAGGAGAACAATGTTAAATCAAAGGGCACAACAAAGTAACAGATGTAAGGGGAAGGAATGGACAGCTTAAAACAAAAATGGAAACTCATGCACCCACAGAGCCTTCATAGGACTGGGCCCTGGACAGCATTTCCATTTTGCCTTTAGCAAGATTGGTTATCCTCTAAATAAAAAACAGCACAGCTTAAAAAGTGAAAAGCAAAAATGCAGTAATAACTGCTGAGTTAAATGAGCCAGACACACAACATTAACACAGTGAAAACTAGACTGGCTGGAATGCTCAAAGAAGGTAGTATTGTCCCTTAACTGAATTTCCTGGCAAAACCCTGAGCTTTGAATTGCTAATATGTGCTCTTAGCTTAAAATATGTGAGGAAAAAAACCTCAAGCTGATTTTTTTTTTTTTTTTAAACACAGCATTGATCTTTCAGGCCTAACTCTTCTAATTCTCAATGATAACTTTCACAGTGCTAATTAGAGGCTCATAATCATTAATGCTTATTGAGCTGTTACCCTTAAATAGGCATTTTTCCTTGGCATGATTTCAAATAAATATTACAGTCTTGAAAAAAACCTAAAAATCTGAGTTTTCTAGCACCAAATTAATCAAGGTTGTATACTAATGCAAATATTTATGTGCCTTTATACACATATTGAAATTTAGGATTTTCATAAATTTAAAAATGTTTTAGATTCTATTTGACTTTGTATGACATTAAATAACTAGTTTGTTTGTTTTCACTTTTTATGAGCTGTTTTGACATTAAATAGAAATAGCTTCTGAGAATATCAGCAAGGATATATCAATTACTAAGCAAAAGCACTATGAAAGAGCATAAGATACAGAGACAGTTACTATGAAAACTTAAAGTGAAACAAAAGTTTAGACCTATAAACAAAATAATTACTTTTTCTGCTGCTAATATTAATCCCATTTAACAATGAAATATTAAATAGGTACAATTTTTATAGTGTATCACATATGGCCTGACATGGTCAACAAACGTGTCATTTTCTGAATAGTGTTTTTCACTTGCTGGCCTCTGAGATAATCAACTGAAAAATGTGGAGGAAAGAACAACTAAGAGTTGACAATGTCAGAAGCCTAAATTTTTCTCAATTAGAAATCCTAAAAAGGCAAAGTTCCAGTCAATAAGGTGACTGGATTATACAAGGTGACTGACTTGGAGGAACAAGGGGATCAGTTTTCACCAAGTCATAAACATAAAGAGTTAGGAACATTAACATAGTCTAAGTTAGGAGTTTTAAGTAGCAGAGGAACTTTTTCAAGTTACTGCCAAAAATATTTTGTTTTGCATAATTAGGAAAATATGTTAAAATGCTGGTTAACATTATACTAAAAATACCAAAAATTTAATTAGTAAGAGTCACCAGAGGATTACTTAATTTACATTAATAGAACCCAAAAACCCATAAACTTAAAGATTTTCCAGAAAATAAACAGAAATATTAGTACTATAGTAAAGCTTTTGAAATTATACAATGTTAATAAGTAATTTAGAGAATTTTTGATTCTAGTTTTAATATTTTAGAGTATAATCTCTGCTAATATTAGTGAGTAAAATGATTTACTCTAAACACAAAATAAAATTAGTTGCTTTTTTTCTGCATAACAGGAGAAATGTCAACATTAGTTTCCAGATTCAATAGTACAAAACATATGTATAAAAACTTGAAATTATCGTTAAGGAATATCTTTTAGATACATTAATTTAATGGTCACTGAAAAATCTATCAAAGTTAATCTAACTGTCCTTGTCACTCCTATAATTTTAAAATATCACTGGTTTTCATCCAACAGAAAGCAATCTGACAACACATCTGCTCACTTATTTTGGTCATCAGTCTTTCAGTCCTCCGTGTGTTTAGATTTCTAAAACACTGCCTTGAAAGCTGCGCCTATCTTGGCTGCACACATCTGCTGTATCACACACTCTGGAGCTTCCATTTATACGATGCCCAGGTTCTTTACTTCTAGCTTAAATACCCCTCTCTAAGTCATTACTTGTATCTGGATGCACCTGTACGGTAAATACAGGATTCTAATGTTTACTTCACTACAAGAAAACATTCTCTTTCTGGTGATGCCTCTCTTTCCTCTCTGGTCTGTGTCTGAAGTTCTGCTATGTGGTGAAATTGTTACTTCCTGAAAAAAGTAGGAAGGAAACAGTGAGACACAGAAAAAGCTACTTACATTATGCTATACATTGTAAGGAGGTTACCTTTTCCCAAATTTTGGCATCAAATCTCACCCTAAACACAAAATGATAGGCTATTTAGCTCTAACTTAAGAGCATGTAGAAGAGTATAGGGAAAAAGATGTGTGTACATACTGTGCCAGAAATACTCCTTGGATGTAAAACTTACATTTTTATCAAAAACATTTTCCCAAGGATATCTTTCTCTCAAGAAAGAGCATACACATAATAATTTAAAAATGCTTCTTATAAAATATATTAACTGTCACACATAACAATAAGTAATTGCTGTTAACAATTATAGATTATATGCTTCCTAAACATCTCCTGGTCATTGTCAATTTGACACTGCAGTGTTCTCCACCTTATATTTCATGTATGATGGTCTCCATTTTTAAAAATGATAACATCAGAAAAAACAATTAGTAAAAACTCAAGTCTAGAATATCAACTAAAATGCTGTGCTTATGGAAAAATTCAATGAGTTTAGTGAAGACTTGACCCCAAATTCCTACTGAAACTCCATCTTCAATGTGGCAGTATTGAGAGATGAACTAGGTGGTGATGAGGTTCTGGGATCTGTGCTTTTAAAAGAACTCTGAGAGCTGTCCCCACCGACAGCCATGTAAATGCCCAAGGACAGTGTGCCTTCTATACAGGAGACCTCATCAGACACTGGTACCTGGCCCTTGGATTTCCCAGCGTCCAGAAATGTGAGAAATAAATTTCTAGTCTCTATAACCTATCTTGGTACATGGCATTTTTTGTTAGAGGAACCTGAATACACTAAAACAACTGTAAGTCCCTCATGTGAGTATATTTAAAATACTATTATTTTAAACACTATTTTAAAAAGTAACTTTTTAAAATTATAGCAGACTAAGCCCCATATCCTGATGTGTTTTTTTGTCACTTTTCTTGAGATGTGTCTGGGTAGGCTGTCTGGCCTGGTCTCTAGCTCCTGACCTCCCACTCACCCTCCACAGCAACCAGGTCTGCAGGCACATACCACTGTGCACAGCACCCTGTTCATTCCTACACAGCACCTAGAATAAGGCCTGGCACACATGAGCTGTGATAGAACCACTGCAGAGAGCAGGATATAGCACATGTTTGTTTGCTCAAATGAATCAAATTAGTCCTTACTTTTACCTACTAATCATATAAAGTTTTCAGAATAAAATTCCAAATTTTTTAACTGTTTAATTTAATTTGTAAGCTAAGCTTTAAGCTACACATCAACCCTACAATTCATTTTTCCAGCATTCACAATTCCCAGAAGACTCCCTAGAAAAGTACAGGGAAGAAATGAATGAAATCATGCTAACATGCTGCTAACCCTCGCAGTAACTCAAAGTGAAAGAGAGTAACTTCCATTGTCGTTGCCCCCTCTCCTCCAAAGAGCTCACATTTCCTTAGTTTGATAATCTATCAGATCTCATGCTAAAGGATTTCATGCAATCTTCATAATAATGTCATCAGGCAGCCTTTGCCCTTTTACAGAAGAGGAAGCCAGAAACTCAAAGAAGGTAAATAATCTGCCCAAGGATACAGTTTAGGAAGCAGGAAAAGCAGGTTCTGAATGTGTGACCATGAAGTGTGTATCTGACTTCACTCAGTAATATGATCCCACCTTTTTCAAATTATCTTTGATTGATGAGGTTCTAAGTACATTTGAGAGAGGAAAATGGTAATACTATAACACAACAGAAGGTATATTTACATCAGAGTAGGACTTGCTGAACTTTGGTGAGCAGGTTGAGCAGTTTATAGAGACACTATGGCTTTGCTTGCAAGCTTAAATAAAACATTTACTATCTGGCCCTGTAAGGAAAACTTTGTCAACCTCAGCTTTAAAACTTTTGCAAGAACTTTGGTTTGGCAAAGAACTTCATAAAAGTGAAGTTTCTTTATCCTATTTAAAAAACACATTCCTAAACAATCATTTTCCAAAGTTTGAAAAAATTTCTGCTTTTCTTTCTTTCCTTTTGGCCCGAGGACTGAATATACAGCCTCCTACCTGCTAGGTACACTGTGCCGCTGAGCTATATTCCAGCCCACTTTTTGCTTCTCTGCTATTTGGTTAGCTAAAAAAAACTATTTTCCTATTTTCCTCTCCCAGTAATATGTAATTCTCCTCGAGATATTTACAGCCAACTGAAAAATACTGGTAATCAGAAGGAACTAGATCTTGTCACTTGGGGTTATTTAACTTGCTCCAACCTGGAAACATATCCTGCCTCACTATTTGAACACTTTTTACAAATAATTTTAAGGATGAACAAAGCTGGGGATTTAGCTCAGTGGTGTAAGAGCCTGCCTGGCAAGCACAAGGCTATGAGTTTGATCCCCTGTCCCACAAAAACAAAACAAAACAAAACAAAACAAAACAAAACAAAACAGGTGTTACCAATAATTATCAGAATTATAATTTGCATTACAATTTGTTCAGTTCTTAAGAGTAAATCTCCTTTGTTCTAAACAGCTATCTAAAGACAGCATTCTATATGTACACACATATTAAAAGCACTTACTGTTTCTTCCGTGACTTAAAAGGGGGATGCACAGTTATTACGGAATGAAGGGCGGCTGTTTTCCCCTCCACTCTTCTGCATGGAAACACTGCCTGCTCTTCCTCTGACCCCACAGCATCCACCTACTAACACGCCAATGCACAATGGCTTGGATTCCAGATAAGAATCTTACCAAGCATAGTTCTTAGCTGCTACTTGCCCAGAAAACTCAAGAATTCCTGCAACTTGTGGTTACTTCACAGTGCAGATTGTGAGAATTTTGCAATAATTACTACAACTATTTGTTGTATAAGAAATCTCAGAAATGCAAATCCTATGTGAGCAACATCGCTTCATTCCAAAGCAAAACACAGTATCAAACCCATAAAACTCTTAACTCCATGCTTTTCTCAACAGTTGCCAAATATGAAGGCCAAGAACAATTCATAGTAATCACAGCAAGAAGAAAAGGGGTGAGGGATACTTCAGCTGGAAGATACATCAACGACCATAAAAATAAGAATCACAGTAGCATGTTGGAAGAACACTAATATATTAATATTTACTACACTGACACTACTACTACTACTTTGTAGGAGTTGGGCCTTTAAAAACATTCTCTTTAAATTATAAACGTACTTGCTACTTTCAGAATGGCCATATTCCTTACTTCTGTGAGATGTTTATAACCAAAAAGAAACATGATAGGACAAAAGCACAGGAAATAAGATGATGTCTCATATAGTAAATCAGTTCTCACTAGAACACAGCAGTCTTATAGAAACTAAAAAAGAAGATACACTAAGTGTATCTAAGATATACTAAGTATATGGACTCATACACAGAAATCTGATGGTTTACAAATCAGTGATTCCATTAATTCACTAAAATAGGCTTATTACTCCAATTTCCAACTTATGTGCAAGTAGTTTTAAATTTTCTAAGCCTCAAGAATATTATGCAATACACACCATGGGCTATTTCTTGTATATTCTTCCAGGAGACACAGTGTAAAAGCACTTATTAGATTGTGTTTATACTGTATGTCAATCAGACCTCAATAAAGTGGTCTAAGTTAGTTTTGAAAAGTGCTTTTACTATTTTTTCAATGATCTATTAATCAAAGACACGTATCAGAACTTTGGGTGAACACAGCATAAATAACTAGTATCTACAAACTAAACAAATGTAAGTCCACGTAAAACCAAAGAAACCTGGTAACTGCTCAGCCTGTGCAGCATTATGGGGAAACATATGCTTCTCACAGTTTCTGAAGCCTTCTATTTAAACTTCCCAAAATCCAGGCTCGAAGTCTTGCCAGTCAAACCATCTGTGTTTCCCTCAGCTGTCAATTTGTAGGGAAGTTTCTTAAAGTCAGGTCAGTGTATCTGCGTTTCCCTGAGCAGCTCACTATTCTCCAGTATCACAGGCAACAATGCTGTATAACAATTTAAAGCCATCCCCTGGGGTGGGAGACACAGCTTTTCACATGGTAAATTTTTATATTAACATTATTTTAATTTGCTTTAACCTTAATAAAAGAAAAGCAGCTAAAAATCCAATTTCAGTAGTTACAACAAATAATTGGAAAACATTTGCAGAGTTTTTATGGGCAAAATAACTATCATAAAAAGAAAAGGTTATAGGGAAATAATCTATAAGGGGTTTTATCATTAAGCAAGCAAAGGAATAAGTTATATAAAGCAATAAAATAACTTTCATGTCTACAGCATGAAATAAAACCTATAAATATCATTAAAAAGATGCAGTGTCTTATTTCAGCTACACGACAGAGCTCTCAATCACTGATTGTTCACTTGTTACCTTGGTGGGCCACTGAATCAAGACCTGGACTAAGTTTCTCACTCACCAAAACGATTCCACACCACATCAGAGAGAAAGCAGACGTGCATGCTCCTCTAACTGCATCCGGCAAAAAGAAGTACTGTCACTCCCAGAACCAAACTCCCAGACTGGCAGCAAAGGCTCCTCTGCCCCCATTTGATGAGCTCATCTCTGCACAGAAGTTGACCTGCCCTACTTCACCAAGGCCTTGGTTCAAAATAAGCTGCACATTAGGCTAGTGTTTATCCCCCTGCTCCCCACAGCGAGAGTGAAGTCACGATCGTTCTTTTGGTTAAAACTGTGTAAATGCAAACACGTCAAGAAAGATCAAGTTAAAAGGCAAATGCAACACACACACACACACACACACACACACACACACAGCTTTTGAAATGTTTTCTCCAAAAGATAAAAAGTCAAAGAAAGACTTCTGAAATAAAATTTGGGATAGCTTATGGGATTCAAAGTTGAAACAGAGTGAAAGAGGTAAAAATCTATTAACAGCAATTATTACTTTGTTCTGCTCCCACAATTATTTTCTATATGTATGAAAGCTCAGTATAAAAGCTATATATTCCATATTTAATTTTAAAATGTTCACAGAATATTTCTCCGTAAATTTATTTAACTAGATTATTATTTTTCTAAGACTTTTCAAGTAATCATTTATTTTTCTAATTCTAAAAGAATGAAGAAATGTCCAGTAAACTAATGATTATAAATAACAGGGAAGCATGTTGTCTCAACAGTTGTACAGCTTTAATACGTGACTCGCTCGTAACTTCCACAGAGACTCTGTGAATACAGAAGTGCTAAAGGAGACACACTCTGAGTGCCCATATACAACTCTCAGTGGAAGAACCGACTTATTTCCAAGTAACTCACTTTCTACTCTTTTACAGTTTCCATGAAGTGAAGGAGGGTTCTGTGACAAATTCTGTACGCTTTGACTCCTCTCAGGATTCACAATGCATGAATATATTAAAGTTTGGAAAGCGCTATAGAAAATAAATCTGCTTGCTTTGTTTACTTCAGCTTTTCCCACACATTATTTAATAACAAATCCTTTCTTAGGGCCGACCTTTAACTTCCGTTTCACAAAACATAGCTAGCTGCAGGAGACAGTCTTCTCTAACTGTATGTCCAGAACTGTCACTTAACATCATACACTAAGATTAATGAACACATATGTGAGACGACTCAGTATTGGCTCCTCATATATTATCACTTTCAAATTTTCCAAAAAGGTAAAATTGTTTAAAAATCTTTAAAGACTACCGTGAGCAGCACTGTTTCATACTTACCTTTTTATAAGGCTTGTCACTTTCAGATCCATGATCTGTTGCTCTAAATGCTGTTTCTCCAGGTGAACCTGAAATGTAAATATGCAGTCCTTTAAATTCTCCAATGATCTTGTTAGCCTAAGCCAAATTCCAAATTATATCTAATCAACTAAAATGTAGATGAATTTTATAGTAACTCAGGTTAAAAGCATCAAATATCTTTTATTTTTATGTTAGGGAGCATTAGTTAAATTATGTGGAAAACTTTCAAAAATTCTAGGACATGTTAACCTATTTAAAAGACATACAGCCTGAATTTATGATTAAGAGGTGACACTCTTCAGGCTATTTTACATGAACTTACTTACAGTTTAACCATGCATCACTGCCATTAGATAATATGTGCAATACAAAAAAAAAAAAATTAAATTGTTAACTGACACGGCAGATGAGACAAACTAAAATTACTTTTCATTTTGATTATCAAAAATAATTAGATCTATTTCAAGAAAATGTTTTGGAAAAGCAATTTTTTTTAATAGCTTTAATCTTACATATATACATTTAGGAATTTTAGTTTCATCACAAAATAATTATTTTTACTTTATTTACAGGATAATAAGTTTGCCTACTGCAGTTTCGGAGGTTAACAGTTCAGCATAGGCAGCAGTATAAATTTGGTGTGCAATTTTATTTGCAACTAGTTTATTAGAAGCACTAAAAAGGCACATTAAGGTCAGCAAAAATTTCTGTTTACACACCTAACAAGAGAAGCAGGTCAGAAGCTTCTATGACTTCACTAACCAATTTGTGACCTGTGAAAAATCAGCAAAAGAGGAAATGAAAATATAAAATTTAACAGGAATGAGCAAACAAAGAAGACTGAGACCTCAGATTTATAACACAGCAGGGTAGTGAGGGGCAAATATGCCAAAACTAACTTTAGAGATTTTAGTCATGATGGTTTAACATATTAGATTTTGTTTTAAAATCATCATACTGGCTCAGATCAATTATGAAAAGCAAATACATAGGAAGTCTCATCTACTTGTCAAGAATAATTAATATTTTTTCCCTCCCTGAGGAAAAACCAGTACATATTTTCTTATGTTCACTTTATTGAGTTAAACAAAAATTAAATCCACTGCGCAAGAAAGCTTTGTGTGGGGGCTAGGGATTTAGCTCAGCGGCATAAGCACCTGCCTTGCAAGCAGGCGGTCGTGAGTTCGATCCCCGGTACCGATAAAAAGGAAAAAACACACACAAAAAAGAAAGCTTTGTGTATACCTTAATGTAAAAAAATAACCATTTTCATTTGTACTAAATGTTTTAATTTAAAATATAGGGGTAAAAAGTACATAGATGGAGTTTTCTGTTATGGTTCTTAACTACTTAAACAAGTGGGTCCTTACCTGCGGTGAAAAAGTCCTTCAATAAGCTGAGGCTTTCAACAATCTTGTCCAAGTCTGGGGCTAACTTTGCAAAGTCTTCTGAATTAGGAAGCGCTTTTCTAATTTTCTCTGGAGAAGATCAAAACACATAAATAGTATCAAAATAAGAACATGAATCAGATAGTAGAATTCAAGGGCTATAAGTATTAACAAGGCAGGTCTACAAATGAGCTACTGTCATCACGCTGTTTACTGCTGAACCCTGGGACACATAGCAAGAAGTGCAGGAGCCAGGTTCAGGTCCAGGCAATCTGGCTTCAGAACCCAGATGCTCAGGCCACTACCCTGCAGTACCGGCAAATGTATTCAACTGAAAAGGACTCTTCACGACTATTATAAAAACAATTCGAAAGCATGCATTTTTCTGGGTTTTTTTTTGGAACTAGGAATTGAACTCAGGACCTTTTGCCAGACGGTCATTGTGCTGCTGCGTTATACTCCCGGCCCAGAAAGTATGTATTTTCTAAAAAGCCTTTGTCAATGTAGCACTGTTTTATCCTCAAGAAATGCTATGAGCTGGGCGTGGTGGTGCACACCTGTAATCCTGGCACTCAGAAGGCTGAGGAGGAGGATCTCTGAGTTTGAGGCCAGCCTGGGCTACAGAGTGAGTACACGGCAGCCTGAACTGCACAGTGAAACCTTGGCTCAAACAAAACAAAACATGCTGTGAATAACTATTTGTAGAAATTCCACCTCCATATATAGCTATAATAAGAAATTTATACAGACATTTAAAAGGGAAATTATTAAAAGGAAACTAAAACATTAACCACATATTCATAGTCAGTACAGTCAGTACAGTCAGAAAATATTCCAGCAGGACAGCAACAACTGTACTAAAGTGATGGACGATTAGATATTCTTTATCCATACAAAATTTTCCTTTGATACTTTATGACTTTCATTTTAAAATAAAGTACTATAATTAGACTCAAAATTAAGAATCTTATTTGTTAGTTTATGACCTTTATATTGAAATAAAGTACCATAATTAGACTTGAAAGTTAAGAAATTATCTCAAAAAATTTCTCTTTCCTAAAGAAATAACTTGAAAAAGTATTTTAGTGCTGATGATACAAACCAAAATCAATATACTCATCAATTTCCCACACAATGTCAGGAACAATCCATTTATAGTCGCTAAGGTCTGGTATCATGTCTTTCCACTGATCAAAAGTCTAAAAGATAAAAAAATTATCAAGTAAATACTCTAAATGCCATATAAAAATGTAAAGAAAAACTGTAAATTAAAAAACTTTATGAAAAGCTATTATGTACGAAATTTTTAAGAAACAAATTATATGACCTCACTTCTTCCATAAATAATTTAGAAGGCAAGTAAATAAAATGTGTAAATACTCTTTCACTATTTAGTAAAGGAAACTCTTTAAGAATTCAAAACATATGGCCATTTCAAGGTTTCATGCCGGCATTAAATACCTCCATGGGACAAAAGAGCAGGACGTGGGACTGTTTGCCTCAGGGCCCAGAGCGTGAAGAACTGGCCCCTTGAGTACTGTGAGCCAGCGAACCTTCCTGTCCCTGCTCTTCAGTGGCAAGGCTCAAAATCAAACCACAGTGACCACTCTCCCCACCCAGGCCCTCTCCTCTAGGTCATCTTTGTCATCTTTGATTACAGTGAAGATTCAGAAGGCATTTTTCTTTAAGGCAACCTAGGACTTGGTCAAAGTACACAATAAATGTTTACATATCCAATTATATTTTACTACATTTAAAAAAATGACACGGTACAAAAACTTAAAATAATCATGCTGGTGTAAATGGAAAACCAGTAGGAAAGTTGAACTTACCTTTTTGGCTGTATAGCCACCACCCACAGCGGATCCCAGGATGAGATACCGAAGTTTTAAGAGCCTTGCAGCTAACCGTGCTGGCCAAAAGTTCCTGTGAGGCTGGTAGCCATATTTAACTGGAGAAAGCTTCAGTTTACGTAAAGGAAGGTTAGTAAGGGAAGAGAACTGCTGCAACGATGTCCTTAGGTGAGGTCTCTGAAACTTTAAGGTGGGATGACGTGAATGATAAATACTTCGTGAAACCAGATGCAGTTTTTGGAGTGGTGAGCTTCCTTTCATTCCAGGGCTCTGCTTCACCAAGGACTGGCAGACCTCACTGCAAGAAAAACAAGTGTGGAGAAAGATCAAACGCCGTAATAACACAAAGGAGGTGACGCACAAAGAGCAATACGGTATGCTAAGGGGAAAACACACACATGCACAAGTGAGCATACACGGCTGTCTGCACTTAGTAACCGCTTGTATGACAGTAGTCACAGCAGCTGCTATCCCACGCGAGCTGCATGAGACCCTGCATGTACCAGTATTAACCCTACTGAAGGATGAGGAAAATGTGGCAAAAAGTCATAAACACAACTTGCCCACGTACATGAGAAGTAACATGAGGAATAAAGGAATTCAAAGCTAGGCTGGGACTCCAGAGCCTGTCTTCTAATTCACTGTATGTGGGCTATAACACTAGTCCAAGGAATTGAAACCAAACAGAGAAAAGGTGGGTATCTATTTTATTAGCTGCTATTTACTATAGGTAAAAGTTAAGAACAAACATAAAGTTTTGCTTTTAAGTGAAACATTCCAGGAATTTAGACTGGTTATGTTTCGCCACTTCACCTATATCAGTCAATTCTAAAATACGCCATGAATGGAAATTCATCAATTCCACCTCAGTCACCTGGCTCCCCAGAAAAACAAAAGCAGCAAAAAAGCCCCCAAAGCAAAGAGAATCTACGCACACATGTCAGCTGTGTGCATTCCCCCATTCTCCTTCTTGCAGAGGTATGTATCTCATCTTCCTCAGTACACAGCCCCAGTTGCTGACTACAGCCAAGCCCAATTCTAAGTCATTATAAAATATTGCTTCACTTAATTATGAATTTCTTCACTCATGAAGAAAAATGAATTACGGAACACAGCAAAAATGCTGTAGAGGAGGACAGTCTGCAAAGGGTATCGCCTGTATTCCCACCAAGGGCCAGACACTTCGCTGGAAGTCTTCACAAACGCCAATGTTGCATGCTTCTTGGAAAAATCTGTACCTTGTTTTACAGATTGTTTTTTAAAAACCTGTCATGCCTAAAGTAGGAAAGCTGGTAAATGGTGGAAGAGAGATTACAATATGGTTCAGCCCAACAGTAAAGCCCAAATCCTTCAATAAAAGATAGTGGGGTAAGAGTGTGGGAAGCAGCAGACAGGCTGTGAGGCAATGGCGACATGCGGGAAACCTCAGGAGGATACAGTGCCTTGTTCCAATTTGGGACTCTACAGGAGCGGTCCAACTCAGGAGACCAGAGGGACACAGGACACGGTAAGAGGAGAAACGACACGCTGCCACCATAAGCACACTGCTCATTTGTAATTAGATATGCAAGTGCTATTTCTGGTCGCATAAACCTTTGTAAAAGCTGTAGCCATTTTGTACTTTTTTAGTTTTTTCAAAGCCCTGCCTCAGGATAAATCATAATTTCCATTGTCTTATAAAAAGCAAATCTCACTTTTCTTTTATAAAGGAAGAGACTTCTGATCTCAAACTCAGCATTCATAAAAAGATAACTCAGCTTAAGTTGCCTCTACGCCAACAAGCAAACGCATATGAAAACTATTAACAAATTCTACCAAATCAGAGGAGGTAAGAGATAGGTAGGTGCTACACGAAACGAATTCGGAAGAAAGTGAATGATCTTAGGAGTTGAGGTATTCAGTGAAAACTTCCTAGAAAAAGTAAAACTTAAAAATTAAGTGGAAAGTAAAGAGTCAGAAAGAAGAGAAATCCTAGCCAAGGAGAAGAGCACAGAGGTGAACAATAAGAGCCAGAAAGTTCACGGTAACAAACAAAGCTGCAGAGGCAGTCTAGCTCTGGGACACACTGCTGAGCCGCTGACCGTCAGGCGGGAGTATGAACTTCGCCTCACAGACAACATGGAAGCACAGAACGCTTCAGCGCAGGGTGAGACGCGACGGTAACGGGGCACAGCCTCAGCTGCACCCGCTGCACCCACACTCCTTCTCCTTCTCCTTCCCCTCCCCATAGGGTGCCACACATGCTTCGTCCACTCAAGGCAAATCCCTGTATCCTCTTTCCCTCTGCCCTCTCAGGAATAAGCAAAGTTTCCCTCTTAAAGAAACAGGAAAAAACACTAATTTCTCACTAATTTCCCGGCCACTTTATTAAAAGACAAACCAATCTGATTTCCATTTCAGCAGCAAAACAGCTTTTACACAGGTACAGAAGAAAGGCTCCCCAAACACATTTTTGCAATTCTTGCTTTTCTCAGTATGTGTGTCCCTGCCATGACCCACTGACCTGCCTCCTCCTTGGAACTGCCTTTCCCCCTGGCAGTCCTGAGTTTTGCCCTGACCCCACTGGCCACTCCTGCTCAGTCTCTTCCCTCAGCTACCTTCTAACTGTTGAAAGGTCATCAAGGCTTACACATAACCTACTTCTCTGTTCATTCTTCCTGGAAGTCTTCCTTACACCCACTTCTTCAATTACCACCTACATATTCACATGTTTCAAATTTCTAACACAAAGAATTGAATTCCACACCCTTGTATCTAAATGCCTACTCAATATCACCACTTAGATATCCAAAAAACACCTCAAATTCAAGACATGCGAAGCCATCATTTCCCTCCCTGCTGTGCCCCAAACCCTGATCTTCCTGCAGCCTCCCTGTCTCAGGAAATGGCACAGGCAGTTGCTACACCATAGGTCTGGGGATCATTCTTGACACCTCCCTCATCCTCACCATTGCATAGCGTTCTGAATGCAAATTTAACCACTGTTCCATGTCTCCATGAATCTATTAAGTGGCTTCCCTGCACTCAGAATAAAATCCAAACCACAAGTCTGGAAGGTTCCGCCAAGCTGATCTGTGTGCCACTGTCCTCTGAGCTCCACCCACACCGAGTAGTATCAGCTCCTGGACTGCCAGTCCGCCCTGCCTGAGCCCAGAGACCTTCTGCCTACTCATTCTTCCCACCATTCCAGTCAGTCCTCCTCCAGCGCTGCCTCCCTTCCCCAAACCTCACTGTGATGCTGGTCCTCCTGCAGCAGTTAGTTTCTGGGCTCTGCACTTCAAAGCACTCCGAAAGTTCATATTACATGGTAATGCAGTGATTAGGTTAATATCCTCCAACAGTAAACCGCAATCTTCATCAGCCCGAGCCCTGCCTGCTTTGTTTACCACAATATTCTCAAAGTCTAGCTCCTCACAAATAGTAGACACCCAATAAATTTGTTGAATGAACACAGATTATTTGAAGAATTAGACTGAAAAACAAATGCAAGAACTGAGCAAAGAAGTGCTCCATAATGTCACTTGAATATTAATTTGCACTAAACTCTATTAATGTATGAATGAATAAATAGCTCGTTATTTTTCCAAGAGTTATCTCCCCATACTAGAAAAGAGTTAATCCAATGTGTAGCTTACTAGATAAACTCCAGGTGATTTTATCCCTAAAGGATGTTTTGGCTTTTCACTATTTTCACACTCCTTTGCTTCGACATTCCTAAAGTTGTCTTGCCAGTTAAATGGCAGCCATAACAACCACGGTGAGAAGCAGAGGTAGGAACAGGGAGGTAGGGTAGGCCGGCTACATGAAATGTTCTTCAGTTAGTCTCATGGAAGAGACAATTGACCCAAAGCAAATTCTAGTATTTGGTAAAGTATCCACAAGAACCGTTTCTAGAATTTCCAATTCAAAAATAAGTGGTCATGTATCAGTGGACTAGTGGACAGTAAGGTCCTCTTGAGATACAGGAGAGAAGAGGTAACTGTGACTTACTGAAGCTCCATGTGACTGAAAGCTACATGGGTCACTCCCCACCACCACTTGTTCCAGAGCGAATGATCAATCTTCCAGGGAAGAGCAAAGGCTCGCAAGTGTGTCCATGCACGTACGTACGGGGGGGAGGGGGTTCCCCAGATTGGGGCACCTCTGACAATGCTGTTTTCAAGAATCTCAGATTGTCTGCCTACTACTTACAAGCTCTAATAAAGCCTGTGACTCCTAACAGTTTGTTCAATCTGTCTTCTCATTCAGAGGCAGCCTGCACAAGACTGCTATATCAATCATCAGTCATTTATGTTTAAATATCGTTAGATAATCAGACTCTTGAAGAAGACCAGCAACTCTTTAAGGTGAGCACCAAGATAAACAACACTGGAAGCAAATATATGCAATTTTTACCTGTATTCTTACAAGGATTGCTGAAAATCTGCACTGCAAACATTAAATAACAGCATGTTGTTATTAAAAAATAGTCATCAAAGAACAATACAAAGTTTACAGAATTAATCATGTCTTTAAGAGATTAAAAACTAGCTTAACAAATATTAAAAAGCAGTCCACGGAAATTAAAGTCACAACGGTCAATACATTTAAAATATCAATAGCAATACTAGAAAATAAGGAACTCCCTATAAAGTAGAATAAAGTAAAAAAATGTGGAAGACACAGAGAAAAATTAAAAGATGCAGAAAAGTGGTATTCAAAGAGACTGGAAAGAGGGGTGGGTGGAATATATGCCAAAGAGACACAAAATGATGCACTGGGATTCAGGAACAAGGTACCAGAATTTCTAGATGCAGGGTTTTTTATCCTGGAAGATTATTTTAGGGTAGACTTTTAAAGATACATATACACACACATGCATGATTTTAAAATCAATGTGTACATATACATAGCTTTTTTTTAACAGATGAAGGATACAGATCATATTTTGTAGATCATGTATATACAGGATCTATTTAAGACTAATATTCATTTAAAAGATGTATAGAAAGAAAAAGAAAAGGAAAAAAAATCAAGAAAATAAAGAGAAAAAATTCCCTGGAACTGAATAAAAATAGGAAAGGCTCAGCAAGTATCAAGTCAGATGAAAAAGAAAACCCATGCACAGGCAATACCTTGAAAAACATTCAAGTCAAGACACGAAAAAAGTAAAAATTCTAGAAGCTCACAAGAAAGGAAAAATAGGCATCCACATGTAAGTAAAACAAAAACCAAATGTAATCCAAAACAGTTTCCCTAAGAAAGCACCTACCTCTTGCTTATAACCTATATGTAATCTACTAATATGTATTTTTTAGTATTAATTTTACACAAATATTTACTGTATCCAAATAAATGTTGCTCAATGGTCACAGACATGATTTATATGTATATATCAAACATACAGTATTTACATTTTCATCTGTTCAATAGCAGGAAATGTGTTCCTTCAAAGCATGCAGAAGAACTATACACAGCAAAAGACAAATTTCAGAGCGTGGAGCTTGTGACATTTTGCATTTCCATTTCTTCTGGTAGCTAACCTGTGCTAGCAGCATGAGACATCTTAAAGCCATGATTCTATAAAGCCGTGATTCTGAAGTGGCTTCACAATTTAGTCCAACAGCATCCAACTCAATAAAGAAAAACACTAATTTTAAATCAGTTTGTTTGTACATGCACCTCTAAATTTTTCCTACACATTGATTTCTCCAACAGACTACTTTACTTTCCTCAGTTTTTCTCCTTCTAATTTGAAGAAAATTAGATGTTTACCCTTTAAACACTGAAAGGAAAAATATAAAGATTGTAAATAACTTGCTTCAATACTGAGGGTTGTGGAGTTACTAAAAAATAATTATACAATTATTCCAATTTGCTAACATTATAACTATGATATCTTACCCAGTTTTCCATTTGGAGTCCTATTAACTGTCACAAAATAAATGGATTCCTTTTTCATAAATTATCTAGAACATTTTATTTTTGTAATTTTCTATTTTGGTGAGGGTGTGGTTTGAGATAGGGTCTTGCTATATAGTTCAGACTGGCCTTGAACTCACTGCAATCCTCCTGCCTCTGCCTCCCACGTGTTGGGATTACAAGTGTGTGCCACCATGACCAGCTTTACCAGTTTGAAATTTCTTTTTTTTGTGTGTGTGTTTTTCCTTTTTTACCGGTACCAGGGATCGAACTCACGACTGCCTGCTTGCAAGGCAGGTGCTTATGCCGCTGAGCTAAATCCCCAGCCAGTTTGAAATTTCTGAACAATTCAATGCAGGAACATAGGGCCGGTGCTGAGTGTATAGGTGGAATTTAGAGGTGTTTTGATGTAGAGTTAATTCGGGAAAAGTTAAAATTTTCCAATCTTCCCTAGCGAATGCCTGCAACAGTAAGTTAAGGTAATAGTTACCACAACAAACTGCCTCTCAAGATAAAACCAAACTTAATACTATTGAAATGCATATAGCAATCCACAGACATGAAAAGACTTGTACAGTACGACTTTCTATTGAAGGATTAAACCAGGCCAGGGCAACAATGACAGTGATTAGGCAGAAGGTGCCACATTCGCCACTTGGCAGCAAAATGTAAGTCTCCTCCCCTAAACACTGCTTTGAAGAGGGCATCTCTAAACACCACCTTTGACATCGTGTGCGTCACTGCTCTAGATCTGACTCCAATCAGAGGGCCAGGGATACAGAGAGAGCCCTGGACCCAGGAGAAGCGCCCAGGTGCCTGCAGGTGCAGTGCACACTCCCCAAGGGGATGGAAGAAAAGAGAGGCGAAATGCAGAGGGAGATAATATGGACAGTCACCCAAGGCAGAGAAGGGCGGGGGCAGGGGGCACAGAGATAACAGCCAGGTCACAAGGTTGTAAACGGCAGGAACGAAAGGACAATAGAGACAGGAAGAACCGAGACAGGCGCCCCAAATCTTTGAGTTGGACAGGGACAGGGACAAGGGCTCCGCGTCCCGTCAATTCTGAGTCCTCGAAAATACCCAGGAGTTCTTCAGCAGTCCTCAGTGGGGCATGAGAATCAATTACACAGAGTGGAGGTCCTGATGGGTCAGCCCTGTTTCCCAAGAGGACTCGGGGGTAAGAAATAACGGGGCCAGGTCGGAGCCCGTGCTTACCAGGTCACGGCGGCCCGATGTAGTCGCCACATCCTGCCGGCGGAGAGGTCACACCGGCGCCAAGACGGCCACGTGGGATCCCCAATGTCAGCCCCAGTCGGGCGCCTACTCTAGGAATGACCCAGGAAGAGGCCCTCGGCAACAAGGGCACACAGCCGCCGCGAAGGCGCTCCCAATGGCGCATGGACTTCCGCAAAAACCTGCCCGGCACCCGTACTTCAGTCCGTCCCTGAAACCGCCACCCTGCGCATCCTAGGTGGGGCTGCATAAAAGGCCCGCAGAGGATCGGCGCATGCGCCTAGAGTGTGCTCCGCCTCCCTCGCTCTCTTTGCTTCCGGGTTGGAATTCTGAACTGAATCCTCGAGGGTTAAAGATTTAGAGACCTTGGAGTGGGGAGTTTGGAACGGGATGAAGGACAAGAAATCTGGCTTGATGAGTGCTCACTGGTGGCGACTGATTTAGTAAGATTTAGGTATCTAGGGAGCATGAAGGGGCTTAGCGTAAAATGAGTACGAAAATTAATACTCGAATAATGTAACAAAAACTTTCCGTTTGGTCTACTCTTGCTGTTCGACTTTGTTTAAAAGCATTTTCGTGTACTTGGTAAAATCAGAGTGTAAGATACGGAATCATGGATAGTTTAGATGCCTTAGAATCTTTGAGATAAGACCAGAGTGGAACTTAGGTCATTTAGGGCAGCTATGGGTTTGGGATGAGCATGTGGAGTTTATAAAGGAATCAGAATGACTTTGCTTTTGCACTCGTGCGGCTTTAATCTGAATTTTAATAATCAATTTGTTGAAATGGCCCTTGTCAAGGTCTCTGACATTTCCACATTGCCAGTGGTCTGTGACTTCTCAGTGACTTAATGTACTTTGCCCTTAGGGCTTTCAGAATATTGCTTGCTTGCTTCTCCGCGCTTCTTTCTTTCTTTTTTCTTTTTCCCTACAGGAGCTACTGATGTCCAGTCTCTTTTGCTGCCTACTTCTACCCCGAATATCTTGGAAGCTCCCTCACCTTGGGCACAGTGGATCTCTTCTCTAGGTACATTTCCTAAATCATCATGCAACATCAGCTGCATGACTGTAAATATCATTTTTCTCTTTCAACTCAACCACTACATGTTTTATGAAGAAACTAACCCTTATAAAGGATATGGCTTGTGAAAGTCGATGGAATTCACGGATGGCCTTAGCCTGAACTAAAATCGAAGTGTCTTGTCCTATGCCCAGTTTGCTACTTCAGGGGTAAATCCCACTTGCCCACATACATACACAGAACACAATTCCTTAACTATCAATACCATAAATCCAGATCCACCCACTCAGAAGACCACCAAGTATAGAAAAAGTCTATACTTTGCTTATTCTTTGCTTGAAAGTCAACTTCCCAAATGCAGGACTGAGAATTTCCTTTATTTATTGTGGGATTAGCTGTACTGGCAGTGTAAACTGTAGCTCTTTCTAGGGCTGTAGGTTTGTACAGGCACCTGTTACTGCTACTTCCTAAGTATTTCAGAAAATAAAAACAGTAAACCGAATAACAATCCCTTTCATGAGTGGGTTACTTTTACAATTCACAGAAGCCCTTGTTTGGGCAAGGATGTATGCATGATGATGTCTACTGTGATAGGAAGTACTAAAAGGTTTGGAATCAACATAAATATCCATATATAGGAGCTAGAAAATAAATATAATCATACTAGACATGAAAGCCTATAGATTAGCACCAAGTCCTTATAAGGAATTATTTCTGATATAAGTGGTTCCTAATTTACAATAGCTCAATTTAGGTTTTTCTAAAATTTTACAGTCGTATCAAGTCAATGTGCATTTAGTAGAAACTACTTCAATTGCACTTTTCAGTATTCAATTATTATATGAAATTATATGAAATAGGCTTTGTGTCAGATGATCTTGCCCAACTGTAAAGGAATATAAGTGTTCTGAGCTCATGTCAGGTAGGTGAGATTGAGTTACCATGTTTGGTAGGTTAGGTGTGTTCAATGAATTATGATGGGCTTATCAGAACATAGCCCCACCCACAGGTGAAGAGCACCTGTATCGTCTGGAGATAAAGAGCAGATTATTTTTTGCACCGTTGGTCCAAATTCAGCCCATAGATTTGTTTTCTTTGGCTTACACAGGGCTTGCCTATACAGAGTTATAAAAATAACACTAAATTTGTCATTGACATTCAAAAACTGAGAAATTTCACATTTAAAAATTTTTGATTTCTCTTAAGAAATCAGGAAACTTGACAGCATGTAACCCTCCTTCTTACACGCAAAAAAATTTCCTGGAAGCCAAGTAAGACTGTTCTCCTTCAGACATCTGTGTCTTCTATGATAGTTCATACTGCTTTTAAAGAGTTCTGAGATTCAGCATGTTAGTTGGTATTCATCATGATGTTTGTGCTTTCATTAAAAAAACTCAGGAAGGGACCTACTACTTATATCAAATCAGAGAAAATGAAAGCCTATGAAAATCAAGTGTTTCCAAAAACAATGAAAACTGCTTTTTCCTCAGAAGAACACAATTATGCAAGTAAACTGTTGATTTTGAAAGAATGCAATTTAACATGATATACAACCAACACTCCTGTGTCATTTGAGTTGCATATCTGACCTGAGAGACTGTTTGTGTTGATGAGTCTAATAAGGGAGAGGACTCAGCAGAACTCAGTCAAAAGTAGGAAGAATTACTTTTGTTGTAAATCTTTTAAATATCTAAATTTGAATACATGTCTTATTTACAATAAGATAGATGCTAAAATATTCTAATCTTGAATCATGAGATAATTTTACTATTTTAAAGATTGAAGTGGGTTCGTAAACAATATAGGAATCCAAGCAGCCAGATTGATAAATTTAGAATTTAATTAGCTGAGCTCAGTGACCACACACGTGGACCCATTTTAGAGTCTCGTCAAGTGGCTGTGGACTGGAAAATTATAAAGCTTTTAAACAGAGAACCACAAAAAGACATCCTGTTGAAAACAGATTAGCTAGGATCTTACATTAATTTTTAGTTGACACCTGAATCTTGCTTCTTTTTGTTAATTTTTTTTGTGGGTATAGCTCATTTTTTTTCTCATGGGATTTATACCCTGAGTAATTTTCTATTTTTCTGGGTTAAAACAGAGAACTAGTTAAATGCAGGCTCAAGATGGCATCAGTTACGCCAAGCTACAACAAAGCTAAAGTCTTAGATTCAGCTAGGAGGGAATCAAACAATCCACCAGTTAAAATGCTCAAAATATTTACCTAGCCACGCAAAACAATACTTTTCAGTTGTCCTGGACCAGGAACTTCAGAAAAGGAAGTAAAAAAATGCTAATGGAAGCTGGAATATTTGTTTTTAAGTTTTATAATTATTTTGAAAGACCTTCCTGGAAGATACCCAAGTTCTGTGATACTGTGTTTTTCTCTGTGGTTTCCTGGAGTCACATATATTTACATCATCATGGTCATCATCACATTTTGCCTCCATGCTCACGTCATAATCCTCAGCCACAAACATGTATAAATCACTTCCTGCGAACGCTGTCAGGTGATGTTAAAAGTGAAACACAGTCTGTGGCCTGGATGGAGAGAGACACATTCATAGTAAGCAGATAAATATCAATGTGGGCAACTGTATGCTGAGGTTGACAGGAGTACTATACCGCCTTCAGGCAGGGCCAAAATGTAATCAGGTAGGCTTAAGGAAGGTTGTTCTAGAAAATCAAAAAAGAATGAATATGTAAAGAAGGAGGCTGAGGGTCAGGAAGACTGGGCAGGGAGATACTGAGAAGCTCAGCTACGAGGGGTTTGAACTAAAGTCTTGCAGCGGGGAGATGTGACAGATCATTTAAAACGACGTTTGTATTTGAAGCAATGGAAATCAAAATGCAGCATTTACAGAAAAGAATCAAAGATAGCAAAGGTGTTACACTATTATGTCTATTTTAGGTAGTTACGTAGGTAGAGAAGCTGAACACAAGGACAGGCACAGAAATGACCACAATTACTGCATTACTGACTAATGCTGAGTATTAATGAGTTATACCATCTTGGATGGGAACTGAGAGCCAAAATAAACCCCCATTCCTGTAAATTTAGCCTGCCTCAAGTATTTCATTATAGTAATGAAAAATGGACCAGGTAATTTTTATAGCTAAGTAATAATATGAATGGTTCAATAACAAAATGGGCCAAAAAACCAGATATTTCATAAATGAATATGTATACATGGCCAAGGAAAAATGCTCCACTTTACTGATATCAGAGCAATTAAAGTTAGAACCACACTCTATCTCTACTGAAACTAATAATAAGAAGTCTCACATTTCTGAGTTGAGCAGGGCATGGAGTGACCAGAAGTGTCAGCCTTTATGGTGAGGCTATAAAAAGGCACAAATCTGTCAGTTTTTTTTTCTATGTTGAACATTCACTTTCTCTCTAGGCAGGCAACTCTATGCTTAGGAATTTATCTAAAAGTAAGTTTTGCATAAACGTTTTCTTAGAACTTGATTCAGAAGGGCCTCAAACTGGAAGCAAACCAAATGTTCATGAACAAAAAGATGGAATCAACAAATACATACAGTGGTAAACAGAATGAACTACACGGACGTGTGTGAGAACATGAATGGCATATCTGGAAGATGTGCCACCATCAAAAAAGGACGTACAATGTGATTCCATTAATTTAATGTTCTAATACAGGAAAACAATAGTTGTAGAGAATGGGGGAGAACCCTGGGGACTTTCTAAGGAGATAGAAGTGGTCCACATCGTGATGGGACACAGACCTTTGTCAAAATAGCTTAGGTTTTTGTATTTTGAGTATATATCTCACACAAATAAAGATGTGCCAAGTAACTGCGGTTGGGAAGTGGGCAGAAGTTAGCTGAAACAACTGTGACACAGCTGATAGAGAAGCTGGGTTTAGGTGGATGAGGAATTTATTACATTTTTCTGTTCAGTTTGTACATTACCATTTGCATTAGAATGTTTTTAAATCTTTAAAATGCATCTCTATTTCTTGCAAAAATTAACCCAGACTTTTGTTTTTCCTCTGTATAATTCTAGGTTATAGAGGCAAAGCATACAGAGCCTCCTGAGTCATGTAGAACTGGTTCCAGCTCATATTCCTTTCCTCATTGCTGCTTTAACAACTTGCTATAAATCTGGGGACATAAAACAGAACTAACTTGCTATCTTACAGTTCTGGATGCCAGGTGGTTCACTCAGTTATGGAGCCAGACAAACCACATGACAGGCTGTCTGTAAGCTGGAGAACCGGGACGCTGGGAGAGTGGCTCAGATCAGTTCCCAAAGCCTCACAACTAGGGAGGCCAACGATACAATTCTGAGGACAAAGGTCCAAAAATCTAGGAGAGGTTGCAGCTGCAAATCCCAGGATTGGAAAGCTGGAGAACGCGTGGTTTTGTCTGAGTCACGCTCCTTTTGCAGGGACAAAATACCCCAATACCAGCAACTTGAAGGAAGATGTTTATTTCGGCTCACAGTTTCAGTCCACAATTGACTCCAAGGCTGCAGGGCATGTGGAAGGCCCTGGCTGAGGAGGGCTGCTCGCCTCATGGAGACCAGCAAGCATGGGGAGAAGGGAGGATGCAGGAGAGAAATGAATCCTTTGGGCCATTCTCTTTCTGATCCACGTCTTCCAACTGGTCCTGCCCGCTACCAGCATACTTAGCTGTAAAGTTCCCCAATCCAATCACTTTCCTGATGTTCAGCACAGGGCCACACTAGATCCATGCTACAAGTTCTGATTTCCAAAGGCAGAAGAAGATGAAAGTCTCAGCTCAGAGGGTAGAGGGGATTACTATAAAGGAATGAATCTGCTTGTCCTCTGTCCTTTTGTGTTAAACAGGGCCCTCAAGGGGTTGGACAGTGGCTATCCACAAGCCCTGAGCACACATCTCTCTTACTCATTCCCTGATTTAAATGCCAGTCTTTGCTGGAAACTCCTTCACAAGTATGTCAAAATTAGTGCTTTCCTAGCTATTTGGGCTTCCTTTAATCAAGTTGACACTTAAATTTGACCATCACGCTCTCTCTAATTAGTGAATAATTTAATTGTATTTTACTTTCCATGATGGATGAACTGCCAAAATGTCATTGGTTGAGTTTTCTAGAACATACTAAATGAGGGCTGAAAGATAAAATTTGGTTGATGTAAATATACATAATATTTATTATACATTATTTATTGAAATAGATCACAGTAAAGGAAATATTGCTAGTAACCTCCTCAAATGCTCTCCCTTGCTTCGCATACACTTATCCTGTTGTTCTTGGCAATGTTTCTCCTACTATTGTGGTTTTTTTAAAGTTTAATATTCACAGTACTTTTTAATCATCCCTTATATGCTCAGTGCAAGAGATTAAAAGAGATTGAAGTGTTTTTTTTAACTTTCAGCATTGTTCTATTATAATGTTAATAAAGTGTATGTGTTTTCAGGGCATTGGAACAATAAGGCTTTTTGATGTATTGTCTTTTCTATATTGCTAGTTGTAATGCCCAATAAAAGGTGCATTTAGAAAGGAAGCTACTGGACCAACAGGAAAGTCATAGGAAGAACTTGGCTCTAAGCCCCCCTCCAGGTGCTATAGGACAACTGATTTAAGGCTACCAGTTCCTCCAGGAGCCGTGTAGGCAATGCCATTTCTGTTCTGTAGTTTATAAGAAACTCCAACTGAAAAATATAGTCCTTTTTCTCAAGGTCACACACAAGCTGGTGGTATTTTTAGATGGTTTGTAAGTTTTCCACTGGAGCTTCAAGGATGACTGTGGGATTTAAATAAGCAAAGGAAAGGGCAAAGGACAACTCAAAAGAGAGAATGGTGAAGAAAAGATACAAAGGAAGAAAAGTATTTGCTTGATACATGTAGGGTGAAGAAACAATTTGCCTGGATGAGGGGTGGGAGAAGAGGATGAAGTAGGGTCAGAAGAGATCAGAGGGAGGTTTGAACGGTGTTGAAGTATGTTTGAGCACCTTCCACTGGAAGAAACTTACGCATAATTTCTTTTGCAGAGAATCCCATGGTCTGAAGGGAGCTCTAGGGAGGTTTACCTACCAGGGCTGGTTAAAAGTCAAAGGCTAAAAGCAGGGACACCACTGAGAAGGTGATAATTCAAACATGCTTTGACTTAGGTTATGATCCTGGTGTCAAAGATGATCCCAAGGTTTTGAGCTCAAGTGGCTGAATTTTCATCTTCTGATATTAATATGGAAGTGATTTAAACACCTTTAAAATGGTGCCGCGCTTCCCTTCCCTCCCTTCAGAGAGCAGCCTTTGCACCGCGGTGCCAGGACATACAGCCTTTTGCCCAACGGTGTGGGCGTTAGTGCTGGGGCTCCGAGTCTTCACGGGCCAGCTCTGGGGCACGCGTGTGTACATCCTCCTTAGCAGCTAGATGCCATCCCTCACCCGCTAAGCGACTCTATGAAATGTCCACCGATGGCTATTATATTTCTTTCCTGCACAATTTCTCTAGAGTTAGTTTCTGTTACTGGAAATGAGAACCTTGATTTATTTTTCTTACTAGACACCACAACCCAGATACAAACTCCGATCGCTCTGTCTCTGATCACGTGGATAAGGTTGATTCAAACATGACCTGTAGATAGCAGAACATCCAGTGAAGATTCCTGGGAGCTCTGAAAGAGGGTTCGGTTCTCTTAGACACTTAGATCTTTTTCTTCCTTAGTCTAAATCAAGATTTCTCAAATTTTACATAATTGACCCTGTAAGCTGGATCATTTTTAGTGCCAGGGATTGAACCCAGAGCCTACAGCATGCTGGGTAAGTATTCTATTACTGAGCTACATCTCAGTCCTAGGCTGCAGGATTTTCTTTTTCTTTAATTGAGGATTGAATCCTGAGCTCTATTTTCAGGTCTTTTAAATATTTTTACATTTCCTACTCTTAGTTTGAACTTGTGATCCTCCTGCCTCAGCCTTCTAAAGCGCTAGGATTACAGGTGTGGGCTGCTACACCACCTTGAAGGACAGTTCTTTGTCGTGAGTGGCTCTTCTGCGTGCTTTGGCAGCATCCCTGGCCTCTCCTCACTCAGCGCCGGTAGTTTCTCTTGTCTTAATTAAGACAAAAGTACCTACAAACATTACCAAATGTCCATTGAGAGCAATTTACTCCGAGTTGGGAATCACCATTCCAAATTAATTCAGTTTTGGAACTGGCATTTCATCAAATCAACCGAGCCGATGGAACTCAAGACATTTTTCTTAATTTCCATCTAAAATCAAAACCCAGTAAATGTCACCCAAAGGACTTATACCATTAGCTAATTTTGCAAAACATAATTAGACATGCAGTTAACATCAAATTTGTTAAGATTCATCCCTCACCTTGTCAAAGGCCCTCGTGCTGAGCCCTGGCATCCCCCGGGCTGGCTCCCCCAATGTGTGTGCTGGTGTCTTTAGTGATCAGCCAGCTGGGTGAAATTCTGCCTATCTGGACAAACTGTGGCCCCAGCAGATCAGCCACTGGGAGTACACCCTGACTCTTTAAAAGTAACTGGCCCCCATCATCAGTAAATCAAATAGTAACAAATGCTGGCGAGGCTGTGAGGTTACAGGAACATTTTTTCATTGTGGGTGAAAGTGTAAACACGCACAACAGCTATGGAAATCAGTATGGAGATTCTCAAAAAAGCTGAAAGTAGAAATTCCATTTGACCTAGCCAGTCCATTCTTGGGTTAAAGATATCCTGAAAGAGTTAAAAATGTTACACTACAGAGATACATGCATACTGATGTGTATAGCAGCACAACTTGTAATGCCTATATCCTGGAGGGAGTCTATATGTCCATCATCATGAATGAATGAGGAAAATGTGGTATCTATACACAATGGAATATTACTTGGCTGTAAGTTACGATAAACAAGCTATTTGTAGGAAAATATGTGCATCTTGAGACCATAATAGTAAGTGAAATAAATCAGATACACGAATTTAAGTGTTGCATAATTCTTATACTGAAATACAGGAAACAAGTAAACTAAAGAGAAGAATAACAGATAATAGGTAACGGAAATAGATATTTTACAAAAGAGAAGGGGACAAAGAGAGGGATTGGGGAAGAGAGAGAAGAGGGAGAGCATAAAACAAGAATTACAATGTATTATGTGCCTTACCAATGTAATCATTGTGTACTGCAAACCTGTAAGAATAAAAATAAAAATTAAACCAGACCAAACACACAAATGTAACAGGAGTCTAAAGGATGTCTTTTGCTGTAACTGTATGCTGAATGTTTAGCCACTAGGGGGCAGAGTTGTCTCAGGAAATCAAGATTTGTTTTGTAAAAACCTCAGGTAGTTTCTATCATCAATCTAGATCTAATTGTTGACATTGCTATCAGGTATGCTCAGTTATTTTAACAAGATGATTAAAGAAAGACAACCATGTGTAATGTAAAATAGGCGGTTCCTAATTACTGTGACAAATGCGTTGTATTCACATGGTTTTTTAATGAAGGTTTTTGTATACAGTTTTAGTTTCACCAAATAGTTTGGGAATAGAGTAGCATATAGTAGAGTTCCTATCCTCCCGAACCCAGTTTCCTAGCCCGTGGCTAACACCTTACATTAATTCTGTACATTTATCACAGCTAATGAAAGGATTTATATTGACTTTAGCATTAAATAGAGTTCACATATTTTTCCAGATTTCCTTAGTTTTAACTTAATGCCCTTTTTATGTTCTAAGATCTCATCCAATAAACCACCTTTTAATTGTCAAGTTTCCTTTGGCTCGTTTAGGCTGAATTTTCTCAGGCTTCCCTTGTTTTTGCTGACCCTGACAGCTTCGAGGAGCCCTGGCCAGGGGCTTGATGGTTCTATTGATGGTCCTTCCTCACTGTTAGACAGGGACTGTGGGGTTTTAGGAGGAAGATCAGAAGTGATAAATGCCATTTCTATCCCCTCGTGTTACCAGCATCACATATCAATTTTGGTGGTCAAAACAGTTTATCAGGTTTCCCCACTAACCCTGCGTCCCACACTGTACTCTTGAAAGGAATCACTCTTTTTGACACACAGGCGAGGAGCAGGGAGGCACATAGCCCTCTTTAAGCTATGCTACCAATGTTGATTCTCTGAAAATCTGTGCAGGCAGTTATCTGTTCTCCTCATTTATTAATTTAAACATTTAGTTCTAGCATGATGGACTTGGGGATGTTTACCATTTGTGAGAGTTTATAAATCCCGGCCACTGTGCTGAGCATTCTACGCACATGAACTCATATAATGTCAGCAGCCAGCCTGAGGGGAGAGATTATTACCTTTTGGTCCCAGATACAAAGCCTGAAGCTTATAGAGTGACTGATTTCCCCTGGCTCTATAGCTTGGTAGGGACCAGGAAGCAAAGTCCTGCCTCTGCTTCCCTAGGGAAAGGGTGTACTGGGAGGTTGATGATCATCAGAAAGTTGGCAGTATGCAGTTTGCAATCCAGTTCTTTGTCCTTTCATTCTCTAAACAAACACCCTAAAATTTCCTCTCTTTATCTGTTGAAGAAATATTTTAAGAATATGGAAATGCACCTGGATCCTACTAGTAAAATACCTTTGTGATTATGGTGTGATAAAATGGTCAAGTCATACATTAGAAAGGTAATATATATATATTTTTTGAGACAGGGTTTTTCTATGCAGTTCAGATTGGCCTTGAACTTACTATGTAGGCCAGGCTGGCCTCCAACTTGCAGTGATTCTCCTGCCTCAGCCTCCTGAGTGCTGGGATTACAGCTGTGCATCTCCATGCCCAGCTCAGGTAGTAGTTTACAAGCAATCATATCTCAAAAGAGAAAGAATAAGGAAAGAATTTTGCTTTATGGTTACCAAAGAATATTTTATGCACAATTTTTACATTACATTTTTTATTATAGAAAATTTTAGACATATATAAAAATTGGGAAGATAGTACAGAGAGCTCCAGGAGGCCCCACACTCCAGTTCCCTGATACCATCCTACATTTGTACTTTATATTTGTCACAGTAAGTTAAGCCAATATCACCACACTGTTATTATCCAGTATTTTCTGGATAATATTTTATTCAGATTTCCTTGGTTTAACCTCTTGCTTTTTATGTGTCCCAGAATCCACCCAGGTGGGACACCAGAATGCATGTAGAGTGTGACAATTCCCCAAACTTTCCTCTTTCTTGAAGTCTTTGCCTGTCCTTGTCATGGCCTTTGGCTGGCATTTTCCTTATGCCTAGCTGTGGGTGTGTGGGGAGAGTATACGAGCGTTTTGTTAAGCATGTGTGTCCTCAGCGTCCCTTGCACCCGCCCATGTTGCCCTGGATCATGAGGCTGGAGCAGTGTTGGTCGGGTTTTTCCACCGCACCCCCTTGGAAAGAAGTCACTTCAAAGACCCCACACTTAAGGGATGATCCGTGTTACCCGAGGTATTTGGCTTTTTCATTGTCTTTTTGTCTTCAGTGTGTTCACT